AGAATGGAAGGGCACTGTCCCTGCCGCTGTACAGTAGTGAGAATGGAAGGGCACTGTCCCTGCCGCTGTACAGTAGTGAGTTATAGCATCAGGATGGCTGTATGTTGGAACAGGAGGAGGTGCCAGATCATTTTCACATTGAGAGCCTTGGTAAAGAGGTATGCTTTCTGGTCAGTGTATTAGGGACTCCGTGGTCAAATCTGTAGACTCTTGTGACAGGTGATGAGTGGTTGTGCTTGAAGAGTAGAAATGGAAGACTTCCATCTCTATCACTGGGGAACGAGTTATCCAGCAATGATGTTGAAGCAGACACCCTGACTTAATTCAAGAAACGGCTTTACTCAAAGAGTTGCAGGAGTCTGGAACAAGCTGCCTAACTCTGTTATTGAAGCAGACATCAAGGTTTCTTTAAAAAAATGGCTGGAAGAGATCCTTGGATCAATGAGCGACTTCACAACGGGCAAAACGGGCTGAATGGCCCCCTCGTTTGTTGCCTTTTTCTTATGATGGGCCCCGTCTACATATTTCTCTCAGTCCGACCGTCCTGTGGCTTCAGCCTTCAAGTGCAAGGATGAGACTTCCTGGCCTTGCCCTTCCTTTCTAGTGGATGAGCTGTTTCAGTCTTAACCAAGTGCACGTGTGCTGAGAGCAATTTTGCTCTTGGCAGTGTGTTTGTGTCTGGCCAGGAGGAGTGGACATTTCTGCACTGCTTCCCTTGTGATGGACTGTACAGCTTGAATATTGATGTCTAATTAAGAATGATCCTTTTAACTGATAAGTGTTGCGTAAGGTTCGCCACAACGAAAATATAACCCTTTCTCCCCTCGTCTTTCTCTTTGACACAGTATGCCCGGCTGGTGGAGATTGTGGGCATGCATGACCTGGGCGTGGGCATCACTCTGGGCGCTCACCAGTCCATCGGCTTCAAGGGCATCCTGCTGTTCGGCACCAAGGAGCAGAAGGAGAAGTACCTCCCCAAGCTTGCCACAGGTGGGCAGCACTGAGCTATGGGTTCTGCCGAGCTCACAGCCTGTATTTAAGGTTGAATGTACACTCCGTGAAAATGCAGTTGCTATTCACACCGAATTTGCCCATCAGATTCTTGCCTGATTTGGTGATTTTGGATTTCTCCTCCATTTTCACATCTCATCTAAAGAGATGCACCTCTAGTGGGTTCAGTATCTCGGTCATGGGGGATGGACACTGAGTTCGTGGCACAGCTGGGAGGCTTGAACTGGGAACCCCCTTGTAACAAGACTTGTACCTGAATCAGTGGACTCTCTTTTAGTTTGAAGTTGCTGTAGTGCAGTAGGCACAGTTTTGCTTTTAAACCTTTTTTTCCAGTCAGAACTTTAAAATGCCACCAGAAGAAAAGGCTTGTACCTGGCCTTCAAAATGGAGGAGGGGGAAGATTTTCAGTGAGCGATGACATTAGACTGCAGAGTCAAGGTGGAAAGGTTGTCTCCCTGAGAGCCAGATGTCAACAGTAGTTCACAAAAAAAAAATATTGAGGTCATACATGATTAATAAACTTAATTATGCTATAAATGTTGCACTATTGCCAGATGTTTTGGCATAATCTAAGTCAGTTTGCACAAGAGCAGGAGAACATAAACAGTGGTAATGATCATAGTGGTATCAGGATTTAAAAATTTAGATAATGTAACAATGGTTTTCGAAGGGGAGCTTGGCATATTTTTATAAATTTATTTTTGAAAACTAAGGTATTAAAAGGATCTCCGTGAAAGCTTTTGGAATGGTAAGGGAATGAAAGGAACACCCTTACCCGCTGCGGCACAGCGGGGCTTTGTCCAGGAAAAATGCGAGGTGTGAATTCGTGGTTTGACTCGTAACTCTGGATCTGCCCCCTTCCCGCTCCCGGCTCCGCAGGGGAGACCATCGCGGCCTTCTGCCTGACCGAGCCGGCCAGCGGCTCCGACGCGGCGTCCATCAAGACCACCGCCGTGCGCAGCGCCTGTGGGAAATACTACACTCTGACTGGAGGGAAGATCTGGATCAGGTATGTGGGCATGGGGTGCCGCTGTCTGCAGACATGTACTGTACCAAGAGGCTTGGATTTAGCATTTTGGCTACCCAGAAATGCTTACACACTTTGGGGATTTCTAAAAGGTGATGGAATGTATTTTCCCCGCTGTTTTGGAAAAATATGGGCGATGTGGAACCTTATTTGTGGTTGATACTTGAGTGTTGGAGTTCGTCTTCTGGCCGATAGGTGGTGCAGTTTTCAAAGGGTACTGGACATATTTTGAAACATTTTGTCTTGTTCTTGATCTCTGCACATTGTGCTGTGTCAGTTATAGCATCATGTTTTGATCATGCGGGGGAAGTTGTTTTGTCCTTAATAAAAAAAACGTATCTAGACAATCTTCAAAGATGAATAAATGACACAGAAGGCAGACAATTGTGGTTAAACTCTGGCAGAAATATTGAAAGACCCATGACGATTTAAAGTGATAAAGACTTGAGCAGAGCTCTGGTGCACTCTCTCACCCCTTTCCCCCCGTCGATTATTCCTCCTGGCTTTGTCTCTCTCCTCTGCCTCCTTCTCTCAATCTGTACTTCTGCCCCCTTCTCTTCTTCTCGTGCTCTTTCTCTCCTTCTGCCCTTCACCCCTCCCCTCTCCCACCCTCCTCCTTTCTTCTTTTCTCTTTACTCTCCCTCTGCTCTCAGTAATGGCGGACTGGCGGAGATCTTCACCGTGTTCGCCAAGACCCCGGTCAAGGATGAGAGCACAGGCGAGACGAAGGACAAGATCACGGCCTTCATCGTGGAGAGGGCTTTCGGCGGTGTGACCCAGTGAGTGTCGACCCCGTGGGGGTGGGGGTGGGGCGCATGTGTCGTTATGTGGGGGCCCCTTTTTGTGTTGCAGGGCGAAGGGGACCCTGGATGAGTTGCTCCATCATTCAAGCGGTGTTTTTGTTTTGTTTTGGTGTTTGTTGTTCTGCAACATCGTTTTCACTTTCATTTGTTATTCTTCTTACACCTTTTTAAACGGTCACATGCCCAAGAAATGACTCTGCAAACAGCCCTTCTGCTGCGCTGTCCCAGAGGTGAAAGGAGCCGACTTCACCACCGGCCATAGGGATGACATTTCGTACCCTTCTCCCTTGCAACAGATTGCTCAGAGCTGGCCTAACTTCTCTCGGTTTGAGTTTCCAGAATCACGTTCTGTCTCCCCTTTCAGCACATTTGAATACAGCTTCACTCTCTCTTGCACAACCCCCCCCTCCAAGTTCCAGTAATAGGGTGCAGATGTCTTGTTAGTTGCAGGTCCCTCTGCTTGCTTTGTCAGTGCTTGGAGGGTTCAAGTTGGCTTTTTTTGTCACGAGTGGGTCGGGAGTGTGACTGTCAGCCTTCTCCTTCCTGTGGTGACACCCAGTCAGGAGGGAGACGGCTGTGAGGAGGCGGGATTTTTATTTTTTCCCCAATAACTCTTCCCTCTTGCACCTTGGCTCCTTGGTTTAGCACACACAATATGTTTTTTTTTACTTGCATGCTACAAGCAGCACGGTGAGTGTGTAGATCAGAGGTCCCACTGTTTTCCAGAGAGCCCCTGTGCAGCCAGAGTTACAGCCCGCTGTTAAATCATTGATTTCTAAAGACTGAGGATAGCTTAACTGCAGTCAGTTTAATAGCTGATTTTTTTTCAGTGATTTAAGTGATTGAGTGTGTAAAGATTAAGTGAGAGTGTGTGAAGACTCATGGACAGCAAGTTGGGTATGCGGAAAGACAAATTCCTAATACAAGAAAATTGTACATGGCCAATAAAAGTGATCTTATCCTACAATTCCTTTAACTGAATAAGTTCATTTCTTAATTGATCAGTAACTTACAAGAGTGGCTAATCTTAAAAGGTGTGAGCTGCAAAGAAAAAACTGGAGTGCTGAGTAATTTCTGTCTTTCCTTCCATCAGTCGACCAGTTGAGGCAGGGGTGTCCAGTTCTAGTCTTGGATGGCCAGTCTGTCCGCAGGTTTTTGAGTTCTTAATGAGCTAAATCGGCTAGTTATTGCTTCAATTGGACTGATTCCAATGCTTAAAGGTGCTGCGGCTTTAAAGTGACCCTTGAAAACCGCAGACTTGCACACAACATGGATCTCCAGGATCAGAATTGGAAAAACCCCAGGTAGAGGGGAGATGAAGCTTTCTCAAAGCAGTGACGGTAGGTCTACTAGCCGTAGGAAATGTATATTGTGAACAGTCACTCATGTTCCAGTAAGGTGTTATGGGACTTTGGGAGCCCTGTGACAAAACTCACGTTCTCAACAAAAAAACAATCCTGTGGTTTGAAAACAGTTCCTTCTTATACAAGATTAAATGCCATTGATGTCAGAGCAGAATTAAACTAATTCTCTGACCTTTGGATGTTTTAGGGTTTTTTTCCCCAATTATTTTAGTGATGATTCCAGTGCAAGCTGGAAAGCCTGCTGGCAGTCTGTAAAACTTAAATGGAGGACCTGCTGGAGCAAAGCGCCGCTGAGCCTGGCTTCTGTCCCTCTCTCTCTCCCTCTCCCTGCCCCCAGCGGCCCGCCGGAGAAGAAGATGGGCATCAAGGCGTCCAACACAGCGGAGGTCCACTTCGACGCAGTGCGGGTGCCGGCGGAGAACGTGCTGGGCGAGGTGGGCGGCGGCTTCAAGGTGGCCATGAACATCCTGAACAACGGCCGGTTCGGCATGGCGGCTGCGCTCTCCGGCACCATGAAGGGCGTCATTGACAAGGCGGTAAGGTTTCTCGAACCCCTTGTCTTCTGCGATTTCCCTGCTTCCCGCCTTCTTTTGTGCAGGTGGCTCTTATTTCCCTCGGGAAAGCAGGTGAGCACAATGTCTGGAGACTCAGGGTTGCCAAAGCTGATCTGAACTGACGTGGACTCCTATGACATTTGACCTCCCTATGGGATGCTTGTGTCTTCTCTACCCAGTAGAAAATTGCTCATTCTAACCACAGTAAGTCTGTGCAAAACTGTATGCAAGGAGTTGTCCATACGTGTAGCACCACTTACCAACATTTTTTTTTATCGTATTGCCCATCCAAATGAGAAATTGCCGATTGTTTTAAGACCACACTGCTTAAAGGTCAAAGTTCAGCATCGGAACAAAGAAAGACATCGGAAACGAAAGCCAACTGAGTCGTTTTTGAATTGTTGTGGGATTTTTTTTTTTTCTGACACTCTTGCAGCTAGTTGGCTCTTTGTTTCCTGGTAGAGTGGGTGCAGGGCTGAGATCACACCACAGGCCGCTTGCCTTCTGGTTGGGGGCGGGGGGGAATTTCCCAGAAATAGCTGTGCCGCACTCTCCCTTTCTTGTGAGGTGAAATGTCTGCAGGCAGCACGTAGTGCACACTGTGTCTTTTTCCACTGTAACACTTGTGTGTGGCTGAGTTTGACCTTGTGTATCTGTACTTGTACCTGTACTGTGTTTGTATCTATTCTTGTCTTTGTGTCTCTGTTTTACCTTATGTGACTTGTACTTGTATTTGTGTGGCTACGTTAGACCTTGTGTGACTGAACCTGCCATTGTTTGTGTGGCTTAGTTAGACCTTGTGTGTCTGTACTTGCCCGTGTGTTTTTGGGCTCTTTTATGCCTGGACATACACACTGCATCCCATCTCCTACCTAGCGCTGTACAGCTCCTCCTGTCCCAGTTCTCATTTTGTCTGTCTTTCTTATCAGCTGCTCCCAGGGTGTGTAGGTGTGTGTCATGTTGGTGTTTGCCCTCCTGTCATGTCCTTGCAAATAATAAGGCTGATATTGGGGGGAGAGGGGGGGGGAACATTTACACATTTCTGCTCAAATGCAAGTGTTAATCTGTTACATGTTGGATTTCGTTCTTTAATGGCATAAATAAGAATAAATTGAGTGAACAATAGGCAACAAGTATCGCCACAAAACAATTGATGGAACACCATGCTGACTCATTTTGTTTACTAATGATTTCAATGGTTGATTTTGTGCCGTTTCATTGCCTGTTATAATATTCCACGCTGTCATTTGTGTAAACCTTCTGAGAGTGTCTGTGTTTTGAGGAAATAAAGGCATGGGCCCATGTTTTTTTTTAACGGGACAGCAGGTAAAGAGACAGCCGCCTGAGCCCTTCTGGTACGGCCGGAGCCCGCTCGAAGGGGCGGGGGGCCTGGCTGGGGCGGGCTCTGTCTCGCCCGCCTCATCAGAGACGGAGCAAACTGCCATGGCTTTCCTGTCACTTGATCAGCACGAGTGGCGGCTTTTTATATCCTGTGACACCTCGTCTCACAGCGGCGGGCGCTGCTGCTGCTGGGAGCGTTTGTGTTTTCAAAACAAGATTCGAAAGGGGGTCATACATGTATACTTCCTGCGTGGGCGAGAGTCTTACTGTTTGCTTTGTCTGTGACCAAAATAGCATGCACACAGACGAAGGGGGGCTCCAACAGCACCCCTGTGGCCAGTGTTATGTGATTGGGGGGGCGGTGGGAAATGGTATGTAAAAATATTTCAGCTCATAGCAGTTCTGTCTTCCTGCCACACTCACGTGATGGAGACGGTTTAGATATCTGTAGAAATAAACACAAGAAAATGGTCCAGTTCTGCTTTGGGTGCTAGACGTTTACCTTAAATAGAGTTATTTAAATTGCATCAGTTTTACTTAGGAACAAGTAATACAGTAGGTTTATTCCATGCTGAAAAGAGAAGAAGAAGGCTCCACAGCCGAAACGTTGTTTCCCTTCTTCTCTTTTCAGCATGGAATAAACCTATTACTTGTTCCACTGTAGTCTACACATGCTGACGCAGCTTCCCACCTGAACTAGATTTTACTTACCCGTTTCTTAAAGGATCTCAAAGTATTCGCTTCAACTAGGTGGGTAGACAACACAACCACCACTCTTTGTCCAGAGATGTGTTTCCTGTTCTCAGTCTATCTCTGCAACCTTGCAACCTCCCCGACCCCCCCCCAATACAATCAGAATATTATGGATTATGTCTATTAGCTGGTTTACAGTTTACTGCCATGGTTGATGGGCAACAGTGTCAGTCACTGATGTACCGTGGTGTGTGCGTTTCAGGTGGACCATGCAGCCAACAGGACTCAGTTTGGAAACAAGATCCACAACTTCGGAGCCATCCAGGAGAAAGTGGCGCGTATGGCCATGCTGCAGTATGTCAGTGAGGTAGGGAGACCCCAAAAATGGGCTTTGCACTTCCTGGGCCAGGTGGAAGTGTGTATAAAAACACCAGAATGTCCTGTCTGTGGACCTGCACATGCCTATTGTACTTGGTGCCAGCCTGATCTGTAGGCACTCAGGACAGTAGTTAGGGCAGAGGCAAGGAATTTGGGAATCAAACCAGCCACAGCTTGGAGCACAGTTCTGGGTTGGCTTCCCTGCTGCCCCCTGTGCGTGGTTCACACTTGGCACTCTCTGTGCTAAGGCACTGTGGGGCCACACTATATGACTGGCGCTACTTAAACCCCAGACAGCGGTGTAATGAAGTATTCACTCCCTTTCTTATCCTCTTCCCCCTCTCTCTAGTCCATGGCGTACATGATCAGCGCGAACATGGACATGGGGGCGTCCGAGTTCCAGATTGAAGCAGCCATCAGCAAGATCTTTGCTTCTGTAAGTATGGGTCACGGGCTCTGCAGCAAACCAGTCTAGCCTGGAGCACTGGAAAAACCTGGAGATCACGGATATTTCTAGGTACCTAAGAGACTTGCACTGGTCCAGGAAGGCTGAGTTTTCCTCCAATTTGCTGTCATTGAGGCTGTTACTCTAAATGGCTTCAGGTTTATAAGTGTTCTCAGTAATATTTAAGTTAGGCACTTCTTGAGGAATGCTTTCCCATAGAGAGTTACAATACACATTAGTGGAGGGCGCTATTTTCATTTAGTGCTGCCTTTCCCAGTCCTTGTCCTTGGGTAATCCTGAATGTTTTGGTTTTTGTTCCTTCTGTCCTTTTCTTAATGAGTTTGCAGCTGAGTTGTTTTTCTTAATAGTTTAAGATTTTAATCAGTAGATGGGGGGGGTTATGAATCAACATGAAGTTAAGTGATGGATGCTGGATATCAGGTCCCTTGTTTAGGATTACAGACACTCCAGGCTAGATAAACCTTGAGCAAATTCAAGTTTAATACAAACTAACTGTAAGCTAAGAATTCAGTATTGAAATGACAGATACAAGTGTGAAAGTGGGTGCAGTTGGGAGCTGCATCCTCAAATAACTTCTGCTATTTAATCTATAAATGTTTAGTTTTATTTCTGCAAACTGTTTAATTTAGGAGTAGTTTTTAGTCATTATGACAAAGTGTTCTTGAGCTAAAACATGCATAGAGCAAATCATGACATGAGTATGGAATAAGCTGTCCAGTCATGGCATTTCAAGAAACTGCTGGATAAGCTCCTGGACCTTTGCTCTTGTTTCTAACCTTTCTTATTTTCTGAGAAGGACAGAATAGGCCATGCTGCATAAACAAGCTTTCCATAAGTCAAAAACCGTATTAAGTGAAGACATGGAATTGAACCAGTGACATTTATTCATCTCACTCATGCCTCTTTCTGTCCTTGATTCATTCAAATTCAAATTGTGCCACTGGTTCGATGACGGGTTTTTGCTCATTTAAAAATGATCTGTAACAACCCAGGAGGCACAAGGGCTGCACTAGGACCTGGGTGTAGGACTTGGGTGATGGGTGGTCAGAGCCATCATTGTCTGTGGGCACGCTGCTCTCTCGATCCCTATGTAAGAGTGCAAGAGAGATTTCGACAGGGCTGCGGCGCAGTGAGCACTGCGTAGGTTCGTCCTCCTGCCGTACGGGAGGGCTGAGCTGTTTCAAAAACACTTTGAATATAATAGGTGTTGAAACGTTAATCAAGCTCTTCAAGACTGCTTTCATGTGAGCGTGGTGACGGATTTAGAAAAATGTTTAAAGAGTTCTTCTCCCACTTTCTATATCTGATCTTTTGCAGATATGACCTATTTAAGATGGGGAAGACTAGCCCAAGTCCTCTTTCATCCAAAGACTTCTCCTTGACATTCAAGGGATTCATTTGTACTTATGTTTGTGTTTGTAATATTGTGTGTATTAGACTCTCTTGTCAGCCATAAAACATCAGTCCCTTTAGCATCAGCTCACAGAAGTGAAGCCTGGCTGTTTCTGGTAAATGGTTGGGTCTTTGCGGCTAAGCTCGGGAATCGCTCGCTGAACTAACCGTGCTCTGATGGCCCGGAAGTGCCGTGAGCTAGGAAGGCACCGCATCCTGTGCTTGGGCCGGTGCTCGGCTTAGGCAACGCCGAAGCACTTGGGTGACAGTAGCAGGCGCCGGAGATTGACAGAGGTTTGCGGTCTCTGCCTGGCAAGAAGAGCTTGTTCGTTCTCGTGCCGCATCTTAAATTAACCTGTGGTTGATATTTCCCGTAAATAATACAGATTCAGTCGGTAGTTGTAATTGGGCGGTGCACTGGCTGTTTCTGATGTGGTGTTATTAAATGCGTATTAGTCTGAATTCCAGGACTGAGTCATATTGCAATCATCGATAGCTGCTGTAATACTGCAGTTAGGGAAAGGCTTTGTTCCTGTCTGTATTCTTATTTTCCTCATCGATTTTCCTGCCATTTCGTTTTTTCTTTAAACACCCGTCATCCTTATACAGTTTTTTTTAACATTTATTCATGGTTCTGCGTTGTGAAAGAGTACTCTTGGTTTGTTCTGAACGTGAAAGTGTAGAATTCGACTAACAGGAGCTAAAGTGATATGGCAACAGCAACATATCCATTCATTTAATCCCGCAGCTAGAAAACAGGGAATATGAAAAGGGAACAGGGGTGCTGCCCTTGTGAAATCCATGTGTCAGATGTAAGACGTGCTGCATCGTTCGCATCTCTGCAGTTTTTGAAAAATGACCGGAAGCTTGTGGGATGATTGTACATCATGTCAGAAACATGGGTTTCAGGAGGACAGATCGAGAGCGAATGGTAGAGCGTGATTATTAAAGCAACCAACATGGTAGCAAAGTAAGACTTCAATCAGGTACAAAATGGAGAGTTTTATGAGGACCTCAGCTATTTGTTCAATCCTAATCCAACTCCGGGTTTCATCCCGGTGGTTTGATTTAATCCTGCGACTTTTTGTCGTCATTTTTGTCTCCAAAGCCCTGCTGTACATGAAAGCTACAGGCCTCTTGTTCTTTGCTTCTGTGTTGACAGGAAGCAGCCTGGACCGTGACCGACGAGTGCATTCAGGTCATGGGTGGCATGGGGTTCATGAAGGTAAGAGGGCTGGGGCCTGGGAGTGGGGGCGTCTGGTTCGAGGGAGTCCATGTTAAAGGTGCAGAAGGCCTCATTAGGGAATGGAGGAGCCATGTTGAACAAGAAGAAGTCTCATTGGGTCCTGGGGGAGCCACATGAAAGGAGAAGTAGTCTCATTAGTAGCTGGAGGGGCCATGTTAAAGGAGAAAAGGCCTTGTGACTAATAGAATTTGAGAAAGTGCAGTTTATTAAATAGCAACATCATAACTGTATGTCACTACACGAGCTAATGGAACCGGATGTCTTCTGGGCTCAACCTGTGCCCTCTGCTGCTCAGCTCTCGGGGGTCCAGCGTACTTCCCCCCTCATAATGCCAGCGGGCTCCGCAGGCGGCCAGCTGAAACTGCGGGGCACGCTGTGGAAAGAGAAGAGAGCCCAGTCATCTCGAGAGCCGGTCTCTCTCTCTCCGACTCGCAGCGGGGGCGATGGAAATGGCCTCTGTGGGGGCGGGGTGCTGCTATATAATAGGGCACAGGGCTGGCTTATCTTTCTGCAAAGCTAAAAATACCTCCGAGAGGAAGGTGTGTCCTTTTTAGATCTCCAATCTATCAGCCTGACAATTGGCTCTGATTGGCCAGCATCTGTGGAAGGGCTCCGATTCGAAGGAAATGTGCATAGGCAATAGTAAATGCAGCAGGATGTGTGTGGGTTGGGTGCACGCATGTGTAAATTGTATATATGTGAGATTATATTATAATCCATATTTGATCTGCTTTGGTAGTCTATGTCGTATAGAATTCAAAACTTCATGTTAACTCATCGGTCTTTCTAATGGCACAAAAACTAAGATACCTACGGATAACACAGTGCAGGGCTTAGGGTGTGCCTGTGTGGGAAGTAATGCAAGCTGAATTTCTGAAGAAGTCTTAGACTCGAGGACATACGCAGTAATTGGAGTTTAGTGTTGTATTTACATTCCTGACAATTTGGAACACATCACTGATTTAGCACAGCACACCTGTGGTGAAGCACAGAAGTACCACAATTATAATTGTGATGACTGGGGCATCAGCTCATAGTTAAAGTCAGTGTTCGGCTGATGTGGTGGTACCCTGGCTCAATATTTATTGGTGGAATTGGTAATATTTGTTATATGTCTTAGTCATATCATGTATTAAAACTTAATGCACCAAGGTTACCACATCTATGATGATAGTCCATTCTGAAGACAGAAAACCACCAGAAGGCTTGTTACATTTGTTTGTATAGAACATGATTGGAACATGTGTCAGTTTGTTCTAAGGGGGGGCTGAGGGCTCAGACATTTATTTCCCTTATTACACTAGTTCGCTTTTACTGTGTAAATAATTTACTAACATAATTTACTAACTATCCAGCTAGAATAATAGAAAATTTCTAACTGCAACTTAAGTGTGAGCTGGCTGCATGCCCGGAACGTGAAGGCAGAGCCAGCCTCGGGCAGCCTGACCAGAACTGTGAGTGCCTGATATCTGTTTAAGCAATGATTAACAAACTCTAGAAGTTCAGGTGGGGAGCTGCGTCAGCATGCATAGGCTGCAAAGGAACAAGTAATAGGTTTATTCCATACTGAGAAGAGAAGAAAGAAAGAACAACGTGCCTCACCTCACACCTGAAGAAGGCTCCATGGCCGAAACGTTGTGACTTCTTTCTAAAAAGGAGTCCATTGAGACAGTTGGGAAAATGGTAGCCTTGAACATTGTGATTACTTACACATTGTGTGAAAACATAAGCACCTTCATGAGGAGCCTCAGAGGGCTCTTTGACTGGGGCTGCGCATCTTTAGTTCTAGATCCAATGGATGGGCTCAGCAGCCCAAGCTCCCAGATGGAGACCCTGGTGCTTGGCGGTTATTTATGGATTTCGTTCCTTTTTTTTGGGGGGAGGGGGAAGAGGGGGTTAGAAGGAGACGCCAGGATCCCGAGACGCGCAGCTTGTTTTTTGTTAGGTGTGCTCAGCGCCTGAGGCTGACGGGGCCACGCCACCCCTTGTGTTGTTTCCTGCAGGACGCCGGGGTGGAGAGGGTGATGAGGGACCTGCGCATCTTCCGCATCTTCGAGGGGACCAACGACATCCTGCGGCTCTTCGTGGCGCTCAACGGCTTTCAGGTGTGGAGCACGTGTGACTGACCGGGGGAGAGTGAGCAAAAGCAACCACAAAATGATTTTTCCGTGTACTCGATAATTAGAGCATTCCATCATAAGTCTGGCTTCCCCTGAGACTAAATGCTGCTGTTTGAGGCAGGTTTCGTTTTGCAAGTCCACGCACATCCTAACCCATTAGTTGTTTAAATGTTTTCTCGGTGCACTGAGAATCTCTTACTGCACCAGATTTTGTGAAGGTGTTTTATGTTTACCTGAATTTCCAGGGAGCATGGTTCATTTTTTTGATGTGCAAAATGTTTTCTCTTCTCCACCCTCCACCACAGAACGCGGGAAACCAGCTGAAGGGGCTCCAGCGGGCTCTGAAGAATCCCCTTGGGAATGCCAGCTTCCTGGCAGGAGAGATAACCAAGCGTGCCAAGAGGTGGGCATAGCCCGTACACACTTACCCCATGCCTCCTCTGAGCTGGGCAACGGGAATCCTGTGAATTTGAAGACCCTACGAAACTATACACCTGCATGGTTCCTTTCCTGTGCCATTGCTCAGTCCACATGCTGTCCAAACAGAGCCATGTATTTGCTGGGAAGTAAAGCTAGGTGGCGAGGGGGAGCAGCATCAGGCTGCGTTGGATTCTTTTTAAATCCTCTCCGTTTACCGATGACAATCAAGGAAGATCCCCAGCCATGAGAGGGGAAGTAAGCACAGTGTGGTGTGTTTCATGTCGCATTCCTGCGCGAGTGTAAGCTGTGATTAATGGGAGTTATCAGTGCTAAACTGCTAGCTCGTTATTGTCTTTTTGGTTAGGGAAGCCGCTGTGAGTCATGATTCAATCATTTAAGGTTCTCGGCTGGTGTGTGCTGTCAGAATTGGTTGTCTCTTTGCATTTGAGCTTTGACGGAGCCTAGCCACATCAAGCAGGAAAGAAGCCAGACTGGCAAACATTTCTGCTGGGTGCGGTGCTCTTTATTTTTGAAGACGCACCCCTCCCTCTCTATCGAACTTGCCATCTGCTTGTCGAAGGTTCTCTGGTGCTCTGATTGTAATCGTGTTTTCACCTGACTCCTGATTGGCCAAGAAAAGAAGTTTCAATCTTATTCACTTCTGCAGGATGCAGCCCGCAAGCTTTTTAGTGCTTCCACAGCCTCACTCCGGGACGTATAGCTTTCCAGCTCCTTTCCTAACCAACCGCAAAACAATTGGACATCAATACTGATGCTTGTGAAGGATGAGGCAGGGAGGAAGAGTGTCTCGCAGGATTTGGCGCATCAGTTGCGTGTGCTGTTGATCGGGCTGGAGAGTCCCAGTTTCCACACTGGATTCGTGGAAAATCATTGTCCTCTGAGGGAGTTCACATTCAAGGCCACAATGGAAGCTGTAGGACTTTTGTTTTAGCAAGACGTCCGCTTATTCTATTTTGGACTGTACGTCCTTTTTAGAAAAGTACTTGCACAGGGATACTCTGTAGTCAAGACCACAGAGAAGCCTTTCTAAAACTCCTTCTCAGTTCTTCCTTTTCCAGTGTATTAATATGCCTCACTGCTGCAACTTCAAGACAAAAAAATTGCTATTACTTATTTCCTAATCGGATCCTCTTGTCCACGGTAGTTTAAGATACAGAGCTACGTGTCTTGAAAGTGTTCTTGACATAGTCTCTGCTCTGGGCTGTACTGCTTTAGGAGACACTATATGAAGTGGTCTTCATGATTGTCATGGTCAGTAACTTCCTCTTCCCCCCCACTGTCTGGTGGTCCAGTGTCTGTGCGCCCTCTCCTTCCCTTGCTTTCTCTTCCATACACCTCTCACATTTATTTGTTCTCCCCATCTGCTTGTAGGAAAGCCGGCCTGGGCACTGGGCTGTCTCTGCAGGGAGTGGTTCATCCAGAGCTTTCCCAGAGCGGCGATCTGGTAAGTCCCAGTTTTCTGCCAGTCCAGTTCCTCCTGTTACCCCTGTAGCTCCTGTTACTTATCGAAACCTGTTTCTGCCTCTTTAAGAGTCTGTCAGCAAAGGGCAAAGTTCCTGAAGGGATGGTTTATTAATAATAATAATAGTAATGTTTCTTTATTAGCCCTATACAATTTCTTGCATTAGGAATTCGTCTTTTTCACATACCCCAGCTTTTTCTCCATGGAGACACAGACAGGGAGAGAAGCTTGGGGTCAGAGCGCAGGGTCTGCCATTGTACAGCGCCCCTGGAGCAGTTGAGGTTAAGGGCCTTGCTCAGGAGCCCAACGGACTAGGATTCCCCTGCCGGCCGCGGGATTTGAACCGGCAACCTTCCAGTCACAGGCGCAGATCCTTAGCCACAGAGCCACCTCTCTGCCCCAGATTATTACTCCTGTTCCTTGAAACAAATTATTGTACTAATTAATAGTCCTAATACCTGGACAGAAAATGAAAAAGGACTGCAGGGAACCGTTGGCAGCAGCTGCTCGTTGTGGGCAGTTAAACGCAGGCAAGGCTGTGGTTGGACTCTGGAGGTTTCCCCTGGCAACCTAGGAAACCGCTAGTCCCATCTCTAAGATGCTTCGACAGCATGCAGGCATGTGTTGCCAAGAACAAGTGGCAGAAAAGAGGAAATAAGGCGAAACTAGACAGTTAATGACTTTCTGTGATTTTTCCCATTTTTACAAACCAGTTGAGAGGGGGTAAAAGAATTTGGGCTAGTGGTAGGTGTAAGTAAAGTTGAAATATTTTTCTTTTTAATAATTTTTTTAGTCACTTTGCAAGCCATGGGCACTTGTGCCAGAGAACTCAAATATAAACATCAATCTTATAGTTTTTAATGCCTTTATTTAAGTGGAGCCCAGAAAACCTCATCACTAGCTGTCCTTTACAGAAGAAAAGCAGCATGAAATCAGTCAAAAATGTCTGATTGGCATTATTTGCGTACTTCCTGTTGTAATATTTTCATAAGCGGTGGTTAAGTCATATGCCGGCCCGTCAGCAATACGAAAGTGACTTGGTCTTATACGGTACATTCCCTGCATTCTACCATTACCATAGAAATGCAGGACTTCCACAGGATCTGTCCATTGTTTGGTTGTGGAAAGATTTGTCTTTGTTCATTGGGCACAAGCTGTAGTTGGGGGGTCTAAGCTCCTAACCAGATGGTTGTGTTCGAGCCCCGGCTGCGGATTCTGCTGTTGTGTCCTTGAACAAGGGAGCCCCAGACCACAACGCTACAGTGACTATAAAAGGTTTTATCCCCTTCAGCATTTTTCAGGTTCCGTTTTCTTACATCATGGAATCAAAATGGATGTATTCAAGAATTCCTACCACTGATAAACACAAACTGCTCTGTAATGTGAAATAAAAAAAAATAAAACTTTTTCATAATTATAAATAAATAACATACAATAATTGATTCAAGAAGTATTCACCCCTTTAGCTAAGATACAAATGAATAAGCCCTGCTGCAATCAGTTGTCTTCAGAGATCACATAATTATTTGATTGCAGTCCACCTGTGTACAATTAGTCTCTCAATTGATTGCAAAATGAATTCACCTGTCTGTGAGAGGTTCCACAGTTGGGAAATGCATTTCCAAACAAGAGCTTCACGTGTCCTGGATGTGGGGAGGGTCAAACAACTCTGACATACCAGAGCCCTCCAATCCAGCTCTCTCTCCACGTAACACTACAGAACCCAGGGTGAGCCGATCTTATGTGCCTCTAGGCATCAACACAGACTGTAGCATTCCCCGATTCAGCCAGCACCAGCCGGCTAGCGGCATTCGGTTTGTGTCCCGTCCCACGTTCCAATACTGTGCTGTTTTTCACTTCCCTAGCTGGTTAAGGCCATCGAGCAGTTCGGGGGAACGATAGAGGACCTGCTGCTGAAACACGGCAAGAAGATCGTGGGTAAGCCCCTGCGTTTCTGTCAGTCCAAGCTCTGCTGTGGGAAAAATAACCTTGAGTGGGAAAAGGGGCGAGATTGTGGTAGAGCTGTGGTAAATCCCAGACACAGTTGTGACAGCCTGAGCCAAGTCGGAACAAAGTTTTTGCATAATAAATCTATGCGTAAACGGCAGTTTACCCAAGTATTGTACAATGACACTGCAATCTGCACCTGTGCACTCCCCAGCAGTTTACCTGTATAACCTTGAGCTTTCTTTTTTTGGGTCTTCTTAAATCGGATGACAGCAGCTCGGCACTTTGAGTCAAGATGGGACAGAATCTGTGTGAATAGATGGGCGTGTAGCTTGGGCCTAGGGACTCTTTGGATTTGGTTGCCTATTGTACCTTTTGCAACAGGTGTCCAATAGTGCCTTTGGAGATTATGTACTTTTTCAGTCAGTCAGCTGCTTTGGCAGGTGGTTTACTAGACACCAGATTAATGAGGTGGGCTGTAATCTGGCCTTGATTTTATCCATCACTGATGCCACTGGCTGGTCCCCAGTCTTGACCTTTGTTTTGAACACTGTTGGGGGGAGGGGGCTGTTATCGCCTTTTGCAGACTCACCTTGCACACGTGCCTCAAGGTGTCCTGTGTGCTCATTCCCCTGACGCTTGACATTCCCTGTCTTTCAGACGAGCAGTTTGTGCTGAAGAGAGTGGCGGACAGTGCCATTGACCTGTATGCCATGGTTGTCGTTCTATCCAGGTACGGTCACCATGGACCCCCGCCCCACATGCCCCACATGCCGCTTCTTGGAACAAGTTTGTTTCCCTCTGCTCATTTCTAGCTGCTGAGGTTGGGTTTTTTCCCCTCCTGTTTTCCCGGTTCTGTTTTGCCGTAAGATTGGCTCCAATGATGATTTTATCACTGTTAATTCTTCTTGTTGGAGGGTTGGGTGCTCTTTCTTTCAGTTGTTTTTAGTTCTCTGTCGACAGGCTGTAATGGCTAGATCAACTGCTAATGTGTTCGGCTGTGTGATCGTTTCTTGCAGGGCATCCCGCTCTCTGACTCAAGGTCACCCCTCGGCCCAGCATGAGAAGGTGCTGTGTGAGACCTGGTGCTTCGAGGTAAGACTGGAGTGAACGGGGGTGGTCATCTGACCCCTGCAGCCACGTCTTCTGCACGCTGGGCTAGTCCATTGAGGAAGCACAGCTACAGCTGTCGCAGTTTTATATGATGGAGGCAGTCCAAACCCTGATGTGGCAAGGCTACAGGTTAAACAGTAGTAAGCCGGGGACATGCTATGTTCATCTTTGTTTCAGAAAAGGATGAAGATTCTGCTCTCTCGCTCACCTCCTTACCACAGCAGTGAATGCTGGCACATTGCCCTTCTTTCTGTGCATGGCACGAGGGAGCGCTGTAGGCTGATAGAAGCTGTTCTTCCTTGAAACACGTATTTGTGTGCTCTCCCAGAATGCCCCAGAACATTAGGACATACCAGCTATTTGCCTATGTAGTGTCTCCTCTGTGCTTATCGTGGAGCTTTCGAAAATCTAGGAGATCCCTAGTTTAGGTGCAGTGGTACCACTGCAATGTGTGACAAGGTGATGTGTGGGGCAGTAAATACGGCCAAAGTGAAATCTTACAGTAGTCTTGCCCGAAGGCAATCAAATAAAGGTTCGTGGTGATTTTGATAAAAATCCGTAATACCGATATTATAGCAATTGATGATCCACTAACTCTAACTAGGAGGGTGATGCAAAACAATTTGTTTTACAGGCATATGAGAGGATCATGCAGGACATCAAGGTGCTGCGATCAAGTTCCTCCAAGCAGATCTTCAAAAACCTCCGCGCCATCTCCACGGCGGTGGTGGAGAGCGGGGGCACCGTCTCCCCACACCCTCTGGGGTTCTAAGACATCCTGAGACATTTCCAGCCCCCCTCCCCCCTCCCTCCTCCTCCCCATCCCCCCGACCCTTTCTCACAAGTGGCACAGCGCTCATCCAAGTCACAGTCAGCTCGCTAGCCGGGGACGCTTTCAAAACCGACCTCCCAGCCACCGTGCTTGTAAAAGCACAGAGGGGTGCGTTCTGACAGGCAACAGCAGACATCTCGGTTCAAGAAAGGGAAGCAAACATTGCAAGTAAAGATGCGCTTTGCAAATTTGGCTGCAGTGTATCTGTAGAAGGAAAAGAGTGGAATACATTGGCACAAGAACCAAACTAAAAGAAAGCTTCTGAAAGTGTCTGTTGTGGGCATAGTCTTGTGTCTGTAGTTTGCTCTGAGATAAATAACCTTTAACTTTGCTTCTCCAAAAGAGGGGAGGATTATTTCAGGTTTCTCTGTATGTTTGCAAATTAAGTTTAATTGCTCCTTTTAGCACTGGTTATGGGTGAAGCGGAGACGATTCATAAGGGACTTGAAGAGCTGCCATGGTGAAGATAGCACTTGAAATGCGTTTCCTGTCTTCTCTTTTTTTTCGTCTTCTGCTGGAGTTTTCTGATATCTCTTGGGCAGGTTTCGGAAACACCCTCAAGTTTACAATCCACCTTTGAATATGATTCAATTTATGTTTTTGTAACCTCTGATCACTGCAATACTAGGGGTTAAGGGGGTTATAAATGACTTAATAGATGTGTAGCTAGCAAGCATCTAGAGCTCAATCAGGCATTAACAGTATGGACAAGCAGTGAATCATTACCTGAGATCTCTATTCCTGCCTGGTTATTACGTTTCATATTAGCAGAGCATTAACGCATGAAGAATGACACATTACTAAGAGTTTGGGAATAACGTTTGCAGCCTCTGATCTCTGTTGCTAACAGAGCTGCAGACCAGGGCAGCTGCTGAAACGGTTAATTAGGTGATTGGCTTTAACCGTTTTGCTGTTTTGTGCAGCGACCTTTCATTTTCAGAAACGGCACAAGGGGAGATACTAAGGGGAAGCTTAACGTGAGGGAATTTCTGCTGCCTGCTTCTGCATTTCCAGTGAATCTGTGTCCTTTTTTTCTTTTCACTTTTCTATTTCAGGAATATGTGACTGTTTTGGGGTGTGCACTTCTTTAAGCAGACAAGCTGTAACACACCATGCAAAAAGGTCTCAACTTGAGTGTTTTTTCTGCCTTCTAAAGGGAATCCATGAAGCTGTCAGTGTTCAGTGTAAAAACTAGGAAAGCAGTTCTCTTTAGGATTCTGTTGAAACCGAACACTGCCTTACCTTGTTTCTATCAAATGTGGTTTGTGATTTGAATGTATCACCAGAGATGATGCCTCTAAACTATCTGCGGATAAAATATTTAAATGCTTGCATGTTTCTGTTTACTTAAAAGCCCATTTAAGTGAAAAAAGGACTTAATAGGCTTGTAAAATATGACACTGTGATGCCTCTGCAGTCTGATTGGATGTCTCTCGTGATCAAATGTGGACCCAGAATTCTTTTTAGGGCCGATGATTTTGACAGTGGGTCATTCTGTGGCCAAGGATAATTGTTTTTAATGTTCTGTAGTGGATTGTTTTGGAATGTCAAAATGTCTCTCATATTTTTTGAAAACTGTTAAATACTATTTATCAAAGACGTTTTGTGAAGGCAAGCACTTATTGAGTTGGTGATCACAAGAGCATTACCATTTTTATGAAGGTCCATTTTGTAAATGCCTTCCTGCAAATTTATCAGTGCAACTTCTGAACTGCTGGCATAAGACTGTTCTGACTGGTCACTTGACTGGAAATTAAAAAACAAATTTATTAACAAAACCTGTGTATGTGTGCTATATGAGCAACATTGTCCTTTGAAACTTGCTTTGTAGTATATTGCAAGCTGCAGTCGGATACGAGACAGGACTCCAATGATTTTAAAGTTTTTCTGGGCCGTTTCATCTCTGTATGTGAGGAATGTGTGGCTGAGCCTCCTTTTGAGATATAGCTGAGGCAAGAGGGTTTAGATTGCAGTTCCTGTATGCATGACGCCAGGTGTTTAACCTCTCATTTTGCTGTGTGGGCATGTTCACCTGTCGATGCACGAGACATTTTGAGAAAGATTCCCCACAAGGACAATGACCCCTGACAAGCAGAGTTACCCCTGAATGGAAATATTAAAGATATTTTATAAACAAGATAGCATTTTCTATTAAATCTAAAAATACACAAGCTCTTTGTTTCAGGTCTGTTTCCTCCTGTCTGAGTTGTAATGCGAATGGCATATAGAAGGTAAATAGCAAATAACTACAAAATAAGAGTTCATTAAAATTCCCTTAAATACAGGAAATCAGTTGAGACTGGAGTAAAGAATGCTGAAATGATTGATCTGCACTTGAAAGAAAATGAGGAGCAAGGTGGTTTCTGTCTGTGCAAAGCTGAGGAGATCTGCAGGTCTTAGTCCTTCTGCGTTGTGCTGTTATTGCTCATAGTTGTGATTCTTTATGCAGAAAATCACTTCTTTTGGTTATCGTATGGTTAAATTTGACCCTTTAAAGGATGATCTTGCTAGATACACATTTATGGTACAAAGTATCTTTTTAGCTATGAGGAACTCCTGGTGATAACTTGATTTTTAGATTAGATAGTCATAACACACATGATTGCAGTGCCCAACTGTAAGATGTTGAAGATTTCCTCCTGGTTTTAACCTCCTGATTACAATCCTTATCTGCAAACACTTCAAAATAATAAAACTACACTCTGTGAGCTTTGTTGAAAATTTAGTAGACCCCTGTACTGCTTTAAGGTAAAGATGACAGATTATTAATAATTGCCATAGCGCTGTAGTTCAGATGTGAGGGAAAACTGATGTAAGAACGGGTTTTGTTTTTAAGAACGCAATACGAGGTGGCCACTTGGGCCATCTACAGTATGTTTAGGGCGTAGTTAATAGATTTGAGGATCTCATCCAGCTGTTTGTCATAAGAAGCCAGAGTGTTGGCCTCAGCTACATGGCTGGGTAGCTTGCTCCATACTCCCCCAAACCTTTGTGTAAAGAATCGACTCCTGTCCTGACTGGAGGACCTCATTCAGCCATTTTATGACAGAACCCAGGGCCTCAGCTTTAACAACATAGATAAGTTGCTTGCTCCATAGTTTTGAAACTAAAAGCCTTTGATTATTGATGCTATGCATATAACTGTGGGGAATGCAGCAGAAATGCTTTGGGAATTCAAGCTAAGACTGTCCAAGTACCATTTTTTTTTTGCCATCCATTTACGAAATTATTTTCTTTGTGGGTTTTTACGTGTTGTCTGGAATCAGAAATGGACACTGACATCACTGGCATAGCACGAGTGAGCACCACTGGAGGAGTGAGACATCTCTTACTCACAACTCCACAACCTCACAGAAGAGTGAGCATTCATTGTAAAAGTGATCTAGCATCACAGAGTGGGCATCACTGAAGGAGAGATGCAGCTCTCGATGACAGCACTGTGAGATCACAGCAAAATTCATGCTAGCTGGAGTTTGGAGACGACTATCTGTGCCATCACTAAAATCGGGGCCCTGTGCAGCAACTGGAGAAGTCGCGCAGCTCCTATTGATAGCAATACAAGATCACAAGCATAGAGCACTGGAGCCCACCCAACTCCTGTGGTCCATGACAGAACATTTTTTTGTTTTTAAACACCTTTTAGGGGTGATTGCCTGCAAGTGAAGCCTGGAAACAAGTCTTCAAACCACAGAAGACAAAAATAGATTGAGATCTATCTATCTGGGAGGAAATGAAGTGAGGAAGTTGAGTTGCTCTTATCTGACAAGTTACATTTCTGCAGATTGCGCCTGCAACTGTATGGTGCTGATGGTCAGGTGGGAGGGATTTTTTATTTCAGATGTAATCAGAAATAGTTGAACCAAGATGTCACATCTATCGGATGCTGCTATGTGCTATTCTGAGTCCAGCCACAGGCCTGCTCGCGACCCGATATGCTCTCACAGAGAGGCGAGAGAGCAGGTCTGCCAAGTGTGTTTATCTCCCCTTGCAGGAAGGAAGCTGGTGGTTTTGTCTTGAGGAATTTCGCAGTTTTCAAATCGCGACGACCATGCGCGCACTGCCAAAACAACATCTGCTGATGTGACGGTTTTTTTTTTCCCTCCTTGCAGTTTTTCTTGAAAACCCTTCCAGCCCTCGACTTGTCTGCAAAACTTGTTTCCTGCCCTTTGTCTTGGGTAAAAGCTGCACTATCTGCACTGCACCTCTGTTGTTCTCGGGGGCTTGGAGTCAGAATTGCTGGGTTCATACAAATGTGCCATTTTGAAGGACCAAAGAGCCCGCAGGTGTGAGCTGCTTGTATTAAGAGCTGTCCCTCCTGTCAGATTTGTGCTCAAGGAGCACCACTATCTTTTAGTCAGAGCAGAAGCTGGGGTTGAAGTGTCCCCTCTGCTCCTTGTACATCGCTGGCTCTCTAGTTAATCAAAAGAACCATTATAAAAAAAACCCTACTATTTGTAAAGCCCCATACAGTTACAGACTGGCGTCTAATAACTCTGGCTGTACACTGCAGTCAGAGCACACCCAGAGGACACAGACCTCAGCTGGTGTCCATCAGAGGACAAACACCAAGCAGGACCTCGGTTATCCATAGGAACTTGGTCCCATTGCTGGACGGTCCCAATCTGTGATTCCTTTGAGCCCAGCTCCACTTCGTGATACTGTATTTGGTTATGCAATTGCATGTCCATTTCTACTGTGCACCAGTTGAAGGTCCTCTTCCTTTGTCAACTGCAGTACACTTTTTAAGCCCGGGTACAATGTGCTGTACTGTTTGGGGCTCCCTGTTAGTGGGGAGTAAGAGCTGGCGCAGGACTAAAGGGGGAAGGGCGCTCTCGGAATCTAGCCGTTCAGGAACGGCCGAGAGGCTGCCCGTGTGCAGCCGCGCGCGCACGGCTCCTTAATCTCCCCCTTCCTGTCTGCAGGAGCAGCAGGAGGAAGTGAGAGCAGGGCTGCGATCATCCCGAGCTCGAGTAGCCCGCCTGCTCTTCTGCTTTTCCCCCCCGGAACTTCCCAAAAGCAAGACACAACGTGCAGTAGCGCTTCTTGATTTCGATTCCGCTCCGAGCCGCGGTGGGGAGGAGCTCTTTAGCTATGGAGCCAGGGTCGTGCGACGTGTCCCCGTCCGCAGGCAGGGAGTGGGTTTGGGCCTCGCTGTCCTGCTGTCTTTCTCTACGCCTTGTCGGAGAGAGTCGATGTAGAAACGTGGCCAAGGTCCTGGAAACCGCACGACGCCTCCAGCTGTCCGACATCTTGGGGCAAACCGAGCGCCTGGCTAATGGTGTTTTTGAGAGCCTTCTTTCACACCCCTCCGTGTGGGGGCACAGGCGGCAAAGTCATAAATGGCGCTGGGGAAGTCGCTGACTAAAAATGATTCACACCAGTTACAAGCAGCTTGTTTCTTTATTACATTATTACTTTGAGTAATTGGCAGTTAAGGGTGCTTTTTAAAGGAGCATATTTCCAAGTTAGATTTCCTGTAAAGGATCACCATACAAATTTAAACTGAGGGAGTTGAGCGTAACGTGTCTAATGTGTAAGTGCATTATATAATATATACTGTACTGTACATGAGCTGTATAATGAGTAAATACAATAGTTGCTCACTTGAATGTGGTTTTATGTAATCTGACCTGCAGTGCTGAAGGGTGTCACTGTGGCTTGGTGGGTTCTCACTGATTCAAGAGTGGTGAGTTTCTGTGTGGAGTTTGCGTGTGCGCCCTCTGCCACACTGTTGTCACTAAAGTGTCTGATACAGGGGCAGGGTGTGGCCCTAACCTGCACCTTGTCCTTCTGGGATAGGCTCTTGGAATGTTGAGGGAGTCTGGAAAACGCTACCCAGCCATGTTGTTGAAGCCGATGACCTGGAGATTCTCTGATCAATTCGCTACTAGGTACCGAACAGGCCAGATAGACTGAATGGACTCCTCTTGTTCAAGACCTTTCTTCTGTTCTTAATATGACACTTCTTGTTGCTTGAATCTTTTGTTTGATTGCTTTTTTATAGAAAAATGACTTAATTTTTGTACAAAATGAGAATTGTTGCCATGTTGCAAATAACGAATGTAATGAAGAAAACACAATTGTATTGTTATAGCCTGCTTCCTATAACTATAGTTGCTCATCACTGGCTGTTAGCATTGATGAAATGGAGACAGTAAGCTGAAATCTGTCATGTTCCCCTCTTAGGAAGTAGCTCTTTAGAAAAAGTACCAGTTCCTGGTGCTCTTCCCTCGTCCTTGTTCCTTTTTCATTCCAGCTCCTGATCCCTTCATTAAAAGCCTAAATGGATGAGCAATGTGATCGATTAGACCTTCTTCGTTGTTTTCTGTAATTTACGATTATTTCCAAGTCCATCTAAAAACAGTTGCATTGCTGATAACACCTCAGACGGGTCTAATACCTTATTGGTGAAATCCGGTTGAGTTAATTTAAGAGCTCAGCAGGAACTAAAGCAAGAGGACACAGGGAGCACCAGGACCTGTACTGGGGTGTCCCACCTTAGTGTGAACAAGCTTCGTTAAGAATGATCGCTCGGAGACAAGGTGTCGGTTATAAATATATATACACTTTTATTGTTAAGACATCCAGGTGGATGCTGCACATTGGTGGTAGTGGATGGGAGTCCCCACTACCTCTAAAGCGCTATGAGTGGAGTGTCCAGAAAAGAGCTATATAAGTGTAAGCAATTATTATTATAATTATTATCCAGACACATCGCTGAAGAGACGTGTACAGATATCGGGGGAGCCTCTGCAAGCGATTGTCAGGGACTGTCGATTTACTGTACATCTCAGGACTCGCAACCCCTAAAGATACATTTGTGCACTGGTGTCCTGTAATCTAAATAACGTAAATGTAATTTGTCATTAATGTCATGTGAATTTGATTTGCCATTGCCAAACAGGAAATGAGTCCTTTTCAAGAGCGTGATTGTACAGCTCATGGCGGGATGTACCGTAGCTCTACATGGCGGCAGCCGTCAGGAGCCTTTCTGCCGTGGGGTTTTGAACAAGCCCCGGGGCAGGGCGGCAGTCCGCAACTGTCCGGTGCTTCTCTCCAACCGCAAACCTGACAGACTCCTCCTGGCGACGGCGGTAAATCGCCCCGAATTTCAACAAACAAGGGGAAGACCAGGTCCTCAACGATTTAACGTAAAAACGGGTACATTTACGCCAAAAGCCTGTTCAACCCGACACGTTTTCCTTCTTTCCTGTTAAATGAAACTAGAAACGTCCTCACAAATGTCAATTCAGATAAGTTGTGTCGCCGCCATCAGCCCAGTTTGCGACTGCTGATGTTGGGAAAATATTGATGCACAGGAAGTGGACGAGAGCTATTTCCTGTCTGCAGTGACACCAGTGCCAAATTTAAAATTTGTCCTCTTTGAAGGCAGGAGGGTATCTACACTTTTGCTGGTCTTGGCGGCAAAGCAATAGTGAACTTCAGATTCTTTCTTGCAAAAATTAGTTCAGCCTCTTTCTCTCAATCAGCCCTAGCGGTATGTTGCAGGGATGAGTGGGATAATGATGTGTGAACATAGCTGCCTCTTGAGAACAATAAATAGTTCTGAGATTAATAAATGGTTGGTGCGCTTCACAAAGCTCTAGCTACATCTTAGTATCACAGCACAGGCCATGTGCAGACATAGAACTGCCCGAGATGCCAGTACTGGCAGATGACTCCCAGCACCGCACCAAGTGATCACAGTGGTTAATTGCATCGCACCTTCAGTAGTTTAGTTACTTAACTCTTCTCTCGGAGTGTTGAGTCTCTAACCTTTGACCTCCGGATAGCAAAATCAAGTTCGTTTTAGTTTGAACAGAAAGACGCTCACCATGCAACCCAGTAACAAGCCTCCTGCGGGGAGGAGGGTGAGGTTAATTACAGGCAACCCAACCCTTCGTTAACTGCCAGACCAGCGCGTCTCGCTCCTGTCCCAAAGAGTCCCAGCCCCACCTCTTTTATAGGGAGCCCACACTTTTTTTTTAGGGACTAAAAACCCGGAACCAGTTTGTACCTTCCCCGCTCTCTGTCACCGTCCAGAAGCTGGGCTCATGTTTGATGTTTCATCTGGCCAAATTCCGAAATGAAAGCTAAAGCTGATAAGATCCTGAGCTCAATACGCTCATAGCAACCTCTCTTCCAGAAGCTGTCTCATGTTGCCTACGTCAAGATCCGTCAGTCCTGGCCCGTGGACAGCAGATGCCGCGATCCATCTGATCTGCAACCCTGCCACTCTACGATGTGGAAACAGAAAGGCCAATGGGGGTTGTGGTCTCAGAGTTGGCTCCAGCGGGACCTCTTGATAGATCTTGATAGGTCTTGGCTCCAGCTGGACCGTTCTTTTAAAAAGTGGCACTCAATGCCACTCAAGATCCCTTGACCCTGGTGCTTTGATGGCGATTGTCGCCTTCAGCTGGAGACCCTCCATGGCTGGGTCTGCGTGACCCCACGCCCTCTGCAATCTCTATTTCTCGCCAGCCTTTCATCTCAGGGTCCAAGAACTGCAGCCCAACTCTCCGCGTACACCGTTCCGCCCCCCCTGCTGGCCTGAACTAGAGGGGCTGTCAGAAAGACGTCCAGTGGCGGCGGCGGTGGTGGGAGGTATCCAGTCTTCCTGACCTCGAGATCCAGGGTAAGGTCTGAAGTTCACATTCCAGTACTTCTTGCTCGGTATTTTAGACCCGGAAAATGTCTGAATTTCAGTGCCGGTGGCGCAGATGTTTGGTTCAATCCAGGTAATTCCAACAGCAAGGCTCGATGGTGTAGACAGGAGGTTACAGAAGGGGCTCTCTCCTCTGTCCCTTTCTCCTGCCATGCCAAGAATGCCTCTTGCATTCCCCGACGTTTCGGGAATGTGGAAGGTCCCGATCCTTCCTGTCCTGCGGTGGGAATTGGAGCACTGGCCCTGCACTCTTCCCACGGAAAGAGCCCCCTTCCGTGCTACAGACCCCCGAGACAAGGGCTGCTTGTGCAGTTTCCCTCTGCCTGGCAGCTGTGCGTCTCGGGACAGGTTTAAAACGGGATCTACCATTCCCTGCTTTCCGTAGTGAGAACCAGACGACACCCGTCCGTCGCCCGGCGTCGGGTGATCCCTCTGTCCGGCTAGACGGGCGTCTGCGGCGACTCCACCGAAATCAGCCTCTGTGCAGCCGTCATGGCTCTCTCCCTGGAAGAAACAGAGCGACGACCCGTGAGACCCATGAGCCTCCAGCACGATCTGGGAGCGGGGTCGCTTTCCCTAACTCCTAGCAGAGGAAGACCTTAGCTGTGGCCAGAAATAGCAACCCTCTTCCCCGACAACCGCTCCACCTGTCCCCCAAAACTGCAGTGTCCCCGTGTGAGTTTCTGTCCCACAAGGGGGGTCTCATCAAAACCATTCTTTTGGAGTTTGGAACTTGATGCTCAGTTTCATCCAGCAGTCCAGAGACACGCTGGTAGGTTAATGGGCTTCTGGCCCTGGTGTGAGTGTGTATTTGTGTCTGTGTGTGCCCTGCAATGGACTGGCATCCTCTCCAGGGCGTACCCCGCCTTGTGCCCATTAGTTGCTGGGATAGACCCTGGCTCCCCCGCGACCCTGAATTGGAAGAAGCTGCGTGAAGATAGATGGATGATTGTTCAAGCGGGGAGCGGTGTTAGTGTGCTTTTCAAAACAAAAGCTGCAAAGGAACACACAAATGTTAATTCCACGCTGGAAAGTCCAAGAAACACAACGTCTTTGCTCTGGAGCTTTCTTCTTCAGCTGTGAGGGAGAGAGAGGAAGGCCGAAGGGATAGAAAGCACAGGAGAACAGAGGACCAAGCAGGTGAGAACAGAAACAAATGAAGGGAGATTTGGAAGAGAGCAGTGAAAAGCTAAATTCTGTAAATGGAGAGGATCTAAAAGCAAGTCAGTCGGTTACTGAGAGGAGGGAGAAGGTGAGATCCATGTTAAGGATGATCTTGACTTCCGATGCTATTCTGGAATAGTGGGGTGCTGTCAGCTTAGACCTGTGATTCTCACTGCTCTGGCATGTTCCCTGAGACTGTGCTGATATTTGTCTAGCTTTGAGCATTTAGCAGACACATATCCACAGACTAGGCCTGTGAATGTGGGATCCACTCAGGAGCATGACTCCTGACAAGCATGAGGTGAGGAAGCCTCCTCAGGGCACACAACTTTCTATGTAAAAAAACAAATAGCGTCTCTTGAACACAAAAAAGCCAGAAAGAATTTATTTGGGTATAGTTTTGCCCCGTGTGGTTTAATTTGAGTATTGGTTGGAAGAGTTAATAACACACGAGAGAAACTGAGAAATCTTCAGAAACATACAGTAGGAGTACAGATGGCTGTGCTGTGTGGGACAACTTCAAGGGACAGACCACAAGGACATTCAGTGGACACCCTAGGAGTCCAGGGCTGAGCTGAGCTGTGGGCCTCCAACCCAGAGCCCCCAAAAACCGTTTTGTGGGCAAGCACATTGCAAGGGATCCACTCTGTTAGAAAAAACACTTTTTAAATTTTATTTCTTACAACTCGAAAACTCCAAAGTCTAATAACAAAAATCACATCTTTCATCTTGGTGAGTTTAACCGCCAGATAAATGCTCAGTACGGTTCTGAACAGATCCGTTCCAAATGAGTCACTATGCAAAGTTTCACGTCTTTATCTTGATGATAAATCACGTGATTTAAAACCACGCCGTCTATCTTGGTTGCGGGCTTTTTCTTAACGGCAGTATATGGGACACAGTTTGTGATAGTTTGCGTTCGATGATGTAATTCAGGCTTGTGAACATCTGCGGATGTGTTTGTTAAAATCCCTCATTGTGTGCTGTGGGATTTCTGCAATGTTTGCACTATAATGCATTTATTTCTAGCCACATGCTAGTGTTGCTTCTAACTTGACAAGTCTTGAAAGACGTGTTTGTCACGCATAACAGACTGAGATATGTGTAGCTGGAACTCAGGAAAAGTGAGGGCAAGCAGAGAGGCAGACATGCCACAGTGTGACAAACTACAGTGTTCGCTCTGTGTAGCTGTACGAGTCCAGCCAATACTATCAATTTCCCATTCTGACATTGACAACTTCAGATTCTCAGCCATCTCCAGCCATTTAAGAGCAGAAAGCAATGTAATGATTGGTTAACCCAATTCAAATTATAATTATACAGCACTGTGCCAATGAAGCACTCGGCTGAGCTACTGAGACACCAAGGGTTGGGAGAAGATTCTCCTTTAAGGCAAACAGACCCAGTAAACTTAAAAGCAGGAGTGGCCAGTCCTGGTCCTGGAGAACACCATCAGGCTGGTTTTATTGATCACGCCTCTTAAGTCTTAAAACTCGAGGAATAACTGTCTGACCACTGAACTGATCAGTTCATATAAGTAGTCAGAGGCTGTTTGAAATAATCTTGAACTCCAGTCATCCCAAAGATCTCTGTTCCTGTCTTAAACTGATTAACTTTCTCTGTTGATGAAAACCCACGTGTTCCTACTCGCCACAGATTTGGAACAGAGTCAAGGTGGTGTATCGGACCTCCTGGACTGTGGGTCTTCAGGACCAAGAGCAGGAATGGCGCCCTTCCCATCCCCCATTTGCCCCGTGTCCTTGCAGTGACAATCCAAGGTCAGCATGGCGTGCCGTGTCTGAGCAGCACTTTCCCATAGCTGGGCGGCACTGAAATCGTTATTCGTGGTTTTGTAGAGAACGGATTCCCAATTCCAGTGCTCAGGACCCCCCCCGAACACCACCTGTGCTTCCAGTTACAGAATTAAATCTTAATTGAACTAAATGAAAACCTAATTTAATGGTGATTCATCTGAGCTCTTGTTGTTTGACCTCTAAAACATGTTACATTAAGCTTCCCATGAGAGAAGGCCATTGAGCCCATCTAGCCTGTTTGCTAGTTAGTAGTTCACTGATCCATTGATTCTTCAAAGAAACTAGGGTATTGGCTTGGCTGGGCAGTCTGTTCTACACTCCCACCACCCTTTGTGTAAAGAGGTGCCTGCCCATCTTGATTGAAGGATCTCATCCAGCTCTTACTTGAAAGAAGCCAGGGTATCGGCTTCAACAACATGGCTGGGCTGCCTGTTCCGCACTCCCACCACCCTTTGTGTAAAGTGGTGCCTCCCATCTTGATTGGAGGGTCTCATCCAGCTCTTACTTGAAAGAAGCCAGGGTATCGGCTTCAACAACATGGCTTTGCAGCTTGTTCCATGCTCCCTTCACTCTTTGTGTAAGGAGCTTCCTATTCTAGGTTTTAGTTGTATTTCTCCATAGTTAATGCGTGTGCCCTTTGGTTCATATGTCACTGTTCATTCTAAAGAAGTTCCGGGGGTTGACTGCACTGAAACTGAGTTACACAGTCGCAGAAGCAGAAGACATTCAAAAGCTTATTTTAGTGGATAAGCCTCCCTCCATAGGAGGAGAAAATGGGCTTCATTACTCCAGACAGGATAAGAACTGCTACCAGTGGAATTTCATCTGGTTGCTACTTCTAAATGCCTCTTTAAAAACACATATTCAAAATGGGGATTTGTGTCCAGATCATTTTTGCATCAGTGTTGCATCACTCTGAAAACAAACAAGCTTTTCAGCAAAAAATTTCCTTGTGATGAATCATCTCTTAAAAAGAACTGAATCAGTCCTATTGCATGGCGGTTGTTTTTATAATGGATGAATTTCCTTGAGGGTTCCGTAAACAAATTAACACTTCAATCTCCTTTCTTATTGACAATCCCTCCCAGTCTTCCACAGCCACCCAAATCTGAAACAATTACAGATATTTGCAGATTGCAGATAATTAGCTTTCACTACCCAGTTTTAAACGGGTGTAGTTTTACTCGCCATGACAGCAGGTCAACAGTCTTAATGTTTTAACGGAAGGGGTGATACGTATGTAAATAAAATAATGAATAAACATTGTAGACCTAGGGCTGCAAATTCAATTTTTGAGTTCTTTTATGTGTAACACATAAGCAGGACAGTGTGTGGGTGTTCAGAACCTTAACAGGAACCATCTCTCCCTCTGTTATCGTTTAATTTAGGCTGCCCAGCCACAGCTGGACGAGACCTGGCATTTGGGACAGGAGTCACTTCTTTACACAAAGAGTGGTAGGAGGGTAGAACAAGCTGTCCACCCATTGAAGATGATACTCTGGTTTCCTGCAAGAAACAGCCTGACGATCTTTGCATCAATCAATCTACTAAGTACCAAACGAACCAGATGGGCCTAGTGGCCCCCATGTGTTTGTGACATTTTTGTTCTCACACAGTTAAAGTATTGGCAAATATCCAATCTTTTTTGCTTACAAATGTTGTGCTGATGGCTACTTCAGTAGTAGTAAGAATACAGGCGTGCATTTAATGGAAAGTTTAAAGAAGCCGATCTGTCTAAACTGAGCTAAATTTGTAAAATTCACACTGTGGCCCCAAGAGGCCGCTCTGGTGGTATTTACTGTGAGTCAGCTGCCCTACAGCTCTGCTTTCAGTATTTGAGTATATGGAAAAGTATAATACAGTATCCATTACAGCATAATAGATAACACCACCAGTAAGGGTCAGTATAGCAATTCCTGTTTAGATCTGGTGGTTCCTGTAGGGTGTGATCTCTTCTGAAGCCTCTCCACTGGGGGATCCATCCATGGGATTGGGTGTGGGGGTGGACAGAGGGCCCCAAGTTTTTTAACTCCTCCACACGACCCTGCCCCACTATCCAAGGACAGCGCCCCCTTGAGCTGGGAGGAAGTAGGACACCCCCCCCCCCCTTCTTTCTCCCCATGCCCCCCTGTCCCGCCCTCCCTCCCCGGGCCCCCGCGGCCTTACCGGGGCGGGTGGCGGAGCCCGGGCCGGGCGGCGCGCACCGTCCACTCCAGCACCCCCTTCAGGTTGCAGTAGAGGCAGGGGAAGCGGTGGTGCATCTTCTCCAGCAGCTCCTCCTTGCGCAGGCCGTAGATGACGGGCGCGATGCACTGCGCCAGGCTGAAGAAGGCGAAGTTGACCACCCCGAAGAGCTCCTTGGCGCCGGCCTGCAGGTGGCCGGCCCGGTTGAGCAGGTGCAGGGCGAAGTTGACGAAGGTGGGCAGCAGGTAGACGGCCAGCTGGGCGCCGTGCATGACGATGGTCTTGCGGCCGATGCGGTTGCGCCGGCTCAGCACGCCCAGCCGCCGGCCCTCCAGCAGGATCCGGGCGTAGCTGAAGAGGATCAGGCCCGTGCAGAGGCTGAGCAGCACGATCTTCTGGACCTCGCCCTTCTTGAGCTGGTCGCGCCGGCAGGTGCTCGGGTCGGCAGCCACTGCGCCCGGCGGCAGGAAGAGAGACAGCGGGATGATCAGCGCCAGCGCCCAGGTGCCCAGCCCCAGCAGCCAGGGCCGCTGCCGCCCGCAGAGCGCGCTGTACTTCAGCGGGAAGCAGATGGCGCAGTAGCGGTCCAGGGCCATGGCGGTCAGGGTGAGCAGGATGTTGGAGGCGCTGGTGACCAGGACGGTGACCAGGGTCAGGCAGGCCCCGGCCGACAGCCGGGCGCCCAGGTAGATCTGCAGGTAGAAGGCGCTGTTGACCCCGAAGTAGACCAGGCCCGAGAAGAGCAGGTGGAAGACCAGCACGAAGCGCGCCTGCCCGCGCAGCTCCTCGTCCCGCAGGATGGTGTAGTTGATGATGAGGTTGATGAAGGCCAGCAGCAGGAAGGAGACGGCGGAGGCGCAGGCCCGCACCGAGGCATACTCCTGCCCCGTGCCGTTGCCCAGCTCCTGCCCCGTGGCGTTCATGGGGGTGGCTGGGGGTGTCTCCCACGCTGTCCTGGCTGGGGGGTGGGGGGGTTGCTTGCTTGCTTGCTTGCTTGCTTGCGAGGTCGCCTCAGGAACGGGGGAGCAGGTGGCCTTTCTTGCGCCTCATGGCTGCTGGGTGAACTCCACGGCCCGCGCACCCCTCCGCTGCTCGCCGGCGGCCCGCCTGCCCGCGACTCTGCTGCCGTCGGTGCCTCCTGAAGCCTGCGTCGAGCCCGGGGCCGCTGCCGGCGCTGTTCTGTTGACGGGAAGGTCCGAGCACTCGCTTACATGAGCCGGGAATCCTCCGGTGCCTGCGGTCCCTTCTCCACCGACACCGCCGGTCAGACGCTGGGAGACGGGCACGGGGGGCAGAAACAGGTCTCGCAATCACAACAGCCAAGGAGCAGATAAGCAGCGACGATCTGCGCTCTCTCCCTCTCTCTCGCTCTTTCACACACTGATCGCTGCTTCCGTTGTTGTTGAACCCTCCAGCGCGGCGTGAGCAGTCATAACAGGAGCGCAGACGAATTGCTGAGCTCAGAGGAAGAGCGCACACTAGCGCTGAGCACCGTTTCTGGTCTCCTTTGATCTTCCTCCCCCTGACAGAAACCTAGTAACAGTGACAGGGCCCCTGAGGAGGCTGCTGCTGGTGATGATGATGATGATGATGATGATGGTGGTGAACAGGTCAAGGCTCACAGTTCATGAGACCACATAGAGAAGTCTGCTGTAACAAAATGAAAGCCGGCTGTTTTTGTTTTTGGTTGATATTCCTAAACGTAGGTATAGGGCGGGGGTGGAGGTGTGAGGGGGGTGGAAACAGTCTTGATGAAAGGACGCTATATAAAGTTCACTTGTAGCCCGATAATAAAACCGTGGTGTGAAGGGGGAGGAGTGTCTGAGATCCTGTATTTGAACCTGAATTTGCAGAAACCTCAACTGTGTAAATTGTAGGTACTTCCCAGAGCATGGGGATAACCTGTTTTGAGAGAAGCAGAGAAGAGGAAGCCGCGAGACAAAAACAATATGTGCAACGTGACAGAATTTTTTTGAAAAAAGCTGGGAAGCCGGTGAGCTCCGCGGGGCCTGCTGGGCTGTGGCTCTGCGCTCAAGCTGCAGGCTGGCGCAGTTCCTGAGAACACGCAGCGCACGCCGTGGTACCTACCATGGAAATTTTCTGGTGATTCACGCCGCCACTCAGAACGAAAACTCCAAATTAGTCAACACCCCCCCCCCAGCCTGCCTTCAAACAATAGCGATTGAAATTAATAAATCAATTCGACATCTAGACTCTTTCACCTCTTAACGAAGTTCCCGTTGGCTTTCAGCTCTTTCTTCTTTGCTGTCGGAGCAGATGAGGCTGCAGATGAAAGGGCACTGTCTGGCTCCTCCGGACCGCTGTGTGATAGTTCAGCAGCTGAGTGCGACTGAAATTGTGTCCAGGTTTCTCCACAGGGCCCATCCTCCCAACAGGGAAGCCTGCTCCAGACCCCCACCACTCTTTGCGTAAACACAAGGTTTCTGTTCCCCTTCCTTGGTTAATTCTTTTATTGTCCTTTGTCCTAGACTGAAGAGATTGAGCTCCCCTGTATATGACGGTTCCCTGAGGCCAGGAATTTTTCTGAACGCTCTCCTTTGAAAACCTGAGCTTTCTGAACTGCGCTTGGCTACAGTGTCTCCACGATTGGCATCACAGTGCTTTGGCTATTGGCTACAAACTTTACTTTGTTCTCGCCCGGACTTGTGTGGCACTGTGTGTTTTCTGAGCTAGTCTGCAACAAGGACAACAAGGTGGCTGAGAGTTGGGTGTTGGACGTTTCTCCCTATCTCCATGAGAACTAGTAAATGAAACTTTTTTTTCCCCTGAATTTCCCATTCTCAGGTGTCTCTCGGGGTGTCGGCCTGGCAGCTCACCCATCTGGGTCACGGTCCTGGATCGCAAACCACGAAACCTGACGTCCTCAGAAAACGGACTGCAGACAAGACGCCAGTCCCAGTCTGCCCGGTCTGCCCACTCTGCGGCCTGCCTGACCGAGTGTAGACCCCGAGTGTAGGCTGGGCCAGACCTTGCTCCAGCAGGCTGTTGTCCATGTTCCTGCATTTGAAACACGTTAGAAAGCCCTTCCTTTTGTAAGTAGAGTGGAGTGCATGTAACCCCAACACCTGGCACAGTACATTTGAGCGCTGCACTGCACTGCAGCTTGGCTTTGTGCCTGTCGGCTTGCACAGGGGCAGAAAGGAAGCTGATTCTTTTATGCAAATACCCTGAAGGTGTGAGAAAGGTGAACAGTTGAGCTGCGGTTCAGAGGGTGGTGTGTGTGTAGCAGGTTGAGTGCCTCCAAGCCAAGTTAATGTTCATTCCTCTCACTGTACATGTGACACCAGGCTGAGGTATGGCCTATAGTATTGTGGTATATATCATCACCTAGTGGTTACTGAATGCACATTACTCAGTTTGGACCTATGAAAGGACAATGGGAAATTTGGCCAGGAGACTGGGGTAACACCCCTACTCTTTTTTAAAAGCATCCTGGAATTTTTAATGACCACAGAGAGTCAGGACCTCAGTCTTCCATCTCATCCAAAGGACCACACCTCTTTTACAGTATAGTGTCCCTGTCACTATACAGAGGCATCAGGACCCACACAGACCATAGGGTAAGCACCCCCTACTGGCCCCACTAACACCTCTTCCAGCAGCAAGTCAGTGTTTCCCAGGAGGTCTCCCATCCAGACACTGACCAGGCTCATACCTGCTGAGCTTCAATGGGTAGCCAGTTGAGAGCTGCAGGGTGATATGACAGCTGGCATATTTTCTTTTACATTTTCAGATTTTCTTCACAGGTTCTTAAATTCAGATTTACTTCAGGCTGAGCTCTTGGCTACATCACTGTCCAACACCCCCCACCCCCCCTTTAAATTTCACTAAACATTTACCGACCAGTTGAATCATCAGTTCTACAATGGAGGTAACTAACAATTACTTGAGGTAACAATTACTTGATCTGTTCTAGCCTGTATTAAATGTCATGACCTGCTAAGAATTAGGTTCCGAATAAAGTGAAAAAAAGTGTCAGTAATCCTGATGTGCTATCAATCACATTGAATTTAGAGTCCACTGCTCAACAGCGCCGTCAAGTGAACAATCTAAAAAGGTTGTGCAGTGCCGCCCTCTAGTGAGATGTCCCGAGAATGCAAATTCTGTGCCTCGTTTTACCAGATTTGGAAATTTTGCATTTGAATATCCGTATTTGAATACTGTGTGAACAGTCAAATTAAATGTCTCCAATATTACACTGTAGCCCATTGCATTCTCTCCAAAGAAGGCTTTTAACTAGCATGTCATGCTACAAAACTAAGAAGTAATCGGTTTATCATTTTCTCCTTTTTAAATAGTTAGCAATTCAAAGAACATTTATAGTTTCAACTCGTCTGTCAAGCACCATGTTAAAAAAGGTTAGAATGAGCAATTTCCTTCATTAAAGACCATTGTTGTGCTGTCTATTTTAAGCAAATGCATAAACCTGGAAAAGTATCAGGAAATTGGATTATATGTTTTGTTAAGACCACTATGTAGTAAATTAACTAAATTAACTATGTAGTTAATACCAGAACTGCAAAACAACACTAGAAATGCTACCAGTATCACACATACGGACTTCAATAATATTTGAAAATGTTTTTATTTGTTAACTAAACAACATCTGAAGATAATATATTCCGTAGTGTGTTTGAATTGAAATGTTTTTACAATTAATGGATCCACAATCCCATCCATTTTCCGACTGCTTTATCCAGTCCAGGGTCTTGGGGGAGCCAGAGCCTAATCTGGCAAGCAATGCCACAAGGCGGGATACACCCTGGATGGGACACCGATTTTCCCAGAAGCCAATTAGCCTACCAGCATATTTTTGGACTGTGGTAGGAAACCAGAGCACCAGGATGAAACCCAAACAAACATGGGGAGAGCATGCAAACTCCACACAGACAGTACCCCAGGGTTTGAACCCAAGGGTAGCTCTGTAATGTTGCCCATTGTGTTAATTTGATTGCTGAATCCTAGCCAAAGATGCTATTGGAATAAGTTCTCCCGGGACTGAGGGTTTTAATGATATAATGAAATGTTCAGTAAAGTGCAATGATCACCTGGTAAACTAACAAAAAAACAAACTTTTAGCCTTTTCTCATTACCTAGTAATAACTACAATTCACATTTCACTTGCACATTACAAAGTCGTATATATATGTAGATTGAAGTTGAGAAAGTCATACATTTCAATAAACATCTACCTACATCTCTGGTAATATTTACAAAGCTACCCGTGGCTTCTCAAAGGCTCCTTTCACTGGCACAAACCAACACAGACACAGCACTAACAGATACGGTGGGTTTAATTGTTTATGCTGTTTGTAGGTGCGCCAATTTCATAGAGTTTTATTGACCCTATATACAGAAAGGTTTTTAAAAAGAGAAAATATATTCACTTATAGGTGAATCGCAGGCTGTGTGCAAGACCCGGGGCTGTGGAATGCTTTTCCCAAATACATGAGCGAAATCTGGCACTGTTTTAGTTGTGGTTCCACTCCCATCCCAGAGTTTTAAGTCTCATTCTTATTAAAAAAATATGCTTTTTGTTGTGCAAAGGGCCATGAAGGGTATTTGGGAAGTAAAGATTCTTATCTAATAAGAATAACTGAGCTTCAGAACAGGATGTTATTAATTCCCTTTTACAGAGTTAGACTCTTATCCGAGTTGACATTTTGGCCCGTTTCTGATTTTCAAAGTTTAACAAACAGGGACAAGGCTGAGAATAAGGCTTATTTGCTAAGCAGGGTAAAATAAGTCATAGCAACACAGCGTCAGTATACAGGTCAGCTGCATGAGTGGCTTCCAGTGTAACCGTTAGAAAAGCAAACCATTTACTAAACCAAATATTTACAGCGTAGCTTACTGTACCTCATCGCTTACTAACCAAAACCTCCCTGAAATAATTATTTCTGAAGCCACACCAGGTTCCATAAAATTTCACTGAAAGAGAAAACACACCACGGGCTCTAATCTACTTTACCCGAATTCCTGTGTCCGTGAGCCCGGAAGCCACATAAGGATTTCTGAGCCAATCAATCGTTTTGATCATTCGATGGATCAATTGATTAGACAGCCCCATAAAGAATCTGGTTACTGGTTTCGGAACTTGAAAGGTCCCCCTGCAGTCATAGCTGGCACTATTTGTGCTTCGAAAGTGCTCAGGCAACAGTGCAGGGCGCCATGGTGCACGTGCCAGCCAAGAGACGTGCACACAGGTGATCGCAGGTGATTTCTGCAGGTACCGTCTGGGTGTGGACTTACTTGTGCAGGTAAGGAACGTCAGGGAAGGTATGCTTAAGCTCTGCAGTGCACAACTAATACTGTTAGGATCTGGTTAGGATCTGGTCATCAAGCCACTAAAAAGGTGTTAAAGCGGCTCAGAGTTCAACAAGCAACACAAATGATCCCTGGCCTCAGGGTCCTGTCGTCTATGGACAAGTTGAAGAAGCTTCATAGATGTTTTGGACATAGAAGAGGAAACACTTCCTCTTTACTCGAAGGGTGGTGGGTGTGTGGAACAGGTTTCTCAGCCAGGTGGTTGAAGCCCAAACGATGGGGACCTTGAAACGATGGATCCTGCACCATGAAACTTTACCATCCAACAAGTTAGATGGGGCAAATAGCCACTTCTCCTTTGTCAGCATTCCAGCATGCTCCTGTTTGACAGCTGCATCCACAGATTTTTCCAGGCACAGAGAGAATAGCAAACAAATTAAGACAAATATCTCCGTTTCTTTGCAGACTTCCTGTTTTGAAAAATTAAGCTTTAGAGCCGCGTTCCAAAATTCTAGCTCCCGTTGAGAGGTAGCTATTTATTAATTCTGGTTGGGGTTTTGACATGGCTTTTCCTGTCAGCTACTGTCTAGACTCCTCCTCTTCCCCCCACGTTTCTGACAACAGGGACCTGTGCAAAGTCTACACGCACCACTGAGGCAACCTTCCTGCTGCTGTGACCTTTCCTGCTGCAGGGACTCGGAGCAAAATTAAAAAAAAAAAAACTGGTCAAGACCCCACAGGTGAGGAGCACTATTTTTTTACTATGTTAAAAAGGGGGCTTTAAAAGACAGTGGAACCAAATGAGTGTTTTGTGTCATAGTTTCGCATAAAATCAAAATTTGAACAGAGCTTGGGGTCTCCCAGCTAGGAGACCAGAGCACACGAGAGCCTAAAAAAAGCTATCCAGGACAGAAGGCAATTCTGCCCATTCAGGGTGTTTGGCAGCTAGGAGCTAATTGAGCCAGGGGTGTCATCCTGCTGTGCCTTGAAAGAAACCAGGGTATCGGCTTCAACAACATGGCTGGGTAGCTTGTTCCAGACTCCTGCTACCCTTTGTGTGAAGGAGTGCTGCCTGTTCTCATTTTTAAAAGCTTTTCTGTGTAGTTTCCTCTTAGTTTCACTCGGGGAGCTGTGTTTTCAGTGCACTGTAGATGGAAAAACTGCTGCATTTAGACCAAGATTGTCTGCTGTTCCTTTAAGCTTCCTTTGCGATTAAATCTTGTGTATGTACGGTATATGGGTGTGTGGGATATTGTTTGAGCACGAGGGCTGAGGTCAAGGGGTGCATCCTTTGTTTAATTTTTTGATTTATTGAAAGATTTCACTGGATTTAAGTTTAATTTCACTCAACTAGTTCCTCCCTGACTCCTCAGGAGGCAGCTACTTCTCCTTCTGTTTTTGACTTCCATCCGAGAGCTCAGAGTAGTCCTGTTGTCACATGAAAGATGGCATTATAGTCAATGAAAGAGATTTTAACTGGAAAGCACACAAAGTTCCCTCAACTCCCTTTTGCACTGTGTGCAATCAGTGACCTATGGACATTTCCTGAGTGAGTCTTTGCCTCCGATCTTCTCCTACCATAACTCCTAGTGGATATTCGCCAAGAGCAGTGTGAGGAGAGAACAGCACACAGGAGAGAAGAAAAGTGACACAGGAGAGGAGCCCTGTCCAGTTTGCTTGAGTTGCTTGCTTATTGGCTGTGATAACATGGCTGGACATCTTGTCCTAGCCTTGGCCAGCCCCTTGCACAAACAGGTGCCACCTTTTGATTCTAGTTGCACTTCCCATATTTTCCATTCTGGTTCCTGTTTCACTGTTGATTCTCAAGAGGTCCGTTGGGTCGTCTCTGACAGTGACCTTTGTGGTTTCTGAACTCTTGATTCATGTGCCCTAATCTTGTGTTCAAGACTAAAAATATTAAGTTCCTTTAGTCTGTTAGGGTAGGAAGCTCCTTTCAGCCCAGGGCTGCCTGGTGGTTTCTGTTACGTGTCTCTGTCCCTTCTTGCATTCCCACGCGCGCACCCTGTAACAAACGCTCATGCCGCAAGTAACACGCCAATCACCGTTCTCTCTCGTCCCTATTTAAGTTCTCCTTTTTCCTCATTTCCCTGCTCACTATTGCGGATTCTCCTCGAGCTCCCTAGTGCGTGTTTATCTCTAGCTTTTCTCCAGTACCTGATCTCCTTGCTTGCTTCTCGTTTTCGATTTCGCCTTGTGTTTTGGATTGTTGCTTTCTCTTTTTACTTCCGTGTTCCGACCTACTCGCCTGCTTCCTGGATTCGACTTCGCCTTGTGTTTTGGATTGTTGCTTCCTCGTTGACTCTCCGTGTTCAGACCTCCTCACCTGCTTCCTGGTTTTCGTTTTTGCTCAGTGTCTTTCTCGGTCTCCTGAGTCCTGCATAGGATCCATTGACCAGATCAGCCCCATTCTGACAGTTTCTCTCTGGACAGTTGGCAGAGCAGCAATATCATTGTATGCAGTTCAAAGACTGACCGTCAGTAGTGTGAAACTAAAGCACACAGGTGTACCTGGAGGGGGACAGCTGTGAAACACTGCTGTTTACTGAACAAAAACGTCTCCTGTCTCTGTAAGTGTGCCTTCAGAAAGCATGAATCCCCCTCACATTTTTTTTCCCCCAATTTCTGTTGCAAGCAATAGATGTACAGTACATTTATATTGAATTCTGTCACTGATCTACATACGTTACTTTATAATGTCAATTTAGAATGGAAGTTCCGTCAAATGTTTAACAAGTAATTTAAAAGAAATGCAGCAATGTTAGGATGTAATAAATATTTATTTCAGTTATGAAACTCCAAATCGAGCCCGGGTGCATCTAATTGTCCTTGTAAGATCACTCTCAATCTTGAAGGGAGTCGTGCTGTGGTCAGTTCAATTGGGTGGATGATTTCAGGAGACATACCCCTGTCGTAGACTGTCCTTCAGTTGACAGTATATTTCAGTGAGGGAACTCTAACATGAAGACCAGGGAGCCGCCTGTACAACTTGTGATAGAACTGTTAAGAGGGGTAGATCTGGACAGAGAGGTGTATAAAACATATCTAGGGCACTGAAAGTTCCCAGGAGCACAGTCAGGTCCATCATCAGGAAATGGAAAGAATATGAAGCTACTCAGACTCTTCCTAGAGCAGGCCGTCCATTCAGACTGAGCAAGAGGACAAGGAGGCCCTTGGCCAGAGAAGTGACCAACAGCCCAGTGACCACCTGGACAGAGGTAACACAGTTCCATGGCTGAGATGGGAGAACCTTTCCAAGGACAACAACCTCTACAGCACCACACAGATTCAGCCTCTGTAGGAGAGCAGACAGAGAGAAACTACTCTTGAGAAAAGCCCACATACTGCAATAGCACACCTGGAGTTTGCAAGAAGGCAAGTCCCAAACCCTGAGACACAAAAGATTCGCTGGGCTGGTCCAGTTAAACAAAACCTGAACTCTTTGGCATGAATGCAAAGCACTCTGGCTGGTGCCAACTGAAAACAGCTCATCACCTGTGTAACTCCATCCCTGTCATGAAGCATGGTCCTGGCAGGGGTGTGTTATAGTAATACTTTTCAGCAGCAGGGACTGGGGTTCTTGTAAGGATAGGCAATTAATAGAGGCAAATACAGGCAAATCCTTTAGAAGAACCTGATTCTCAAGACAAAAGACAAGGACTCCATGTATACAGCCATATCAACACTAGAGTGGCTACAGAACAAGAAGATGGATGTCCAGTCAAAGCTCAGACTTGAATCCCATTGAGAATCTGCAGGTCCTGTGCAAGGATTGTGTCCACAAATCCCAAGATGCAGTTGTGCAAAGCTATCACAGACATACTCAAGAAGACGCAGACTCATTGCTGCAAAAGCAAAATGTGCTTCTGTAAACTATTGACTTGAGTGGGCAGATTTATGAATGTCAGTAAATCATATATTTGCTTTTCATTTTTCATGAGCTGTTGTTACACACAAAATATTTTGGTCCTTTTAGGTTGCTGAATGTATTGTGTGAGTGTAGGGAACGTAAATCATTTTAGTGTATTAAAAGAATCTGGTCGTTACACAACATTTTGCAGCTATTCAGGGGGTGTGAAGGCAATATTTTCTGAAGGCACTGTAGTTTTCTGGTTAAAGATGCCAGGTCAATTTTGCAGCTGGTTTCTCAGTGTACACAAGAATACATTGTTGTAAATATTGACAAAGAGCTCTTCTGTTCAAGCAATGTAATAACATATTGACTATAATTTCGTAATGTAGTAACCAACATAATTCCACACAGTTCTGCAGTAAAACCTTTGTTTGCAAAGTCTAAACCTTACAGTACATATCTTAGGAATGCTTCCTTATTAAATTATGCATTTTCAAAATAGGCTTTAGACTGCCACAAGAGTCATGGAATTAATTGTGTTCAGACTATTTTTTGGAGGATGAGAGTGGTTTTACTTAGAGGAAATTAGATGAAGTATTTCTGGGGGCTGACAGCATAGGATTTCCTGCATGATCTTTGATATATTATAGGGCTTGTAACCGCAGCATGATCTCTGCCTCAAACCAGGTCAGACATCCGAATTGAACAATGCTTGTTAGATTTTACGGAACATAAGACCATAAGTCTTTGGGTCTGAATTTCTCTGATCTTCCAAAGCCCATGGTCAAGGATGATGAAATGTTTCTTCTGGTACAGTCATGTGCTTTGTTTCCAAGAATTTGATCGTTCAGTAAAAGATGGCTTTTGAAATGACACAGGCTCAGGCTCCGGCCTACTCATCTCAGACTCAAAAGCACTTTGAGAATAGTAAGAGCTTCTAGCCTTTTCTTTTCTCTACTGTGCCTGCTGAAAAAGCAGTTCACTGGTATCTGACTGCACAATGATCACAACAGTAGTTTTTTTTTTTTAGTCTTCTAAAATCACTACCAGAAAGAAATTGTGGTGATGTCCCTTCTGGACCATCATTCATGTTAAGAAAAGCTTGTCATCTTGCAGGTTGTTGGTTTTCATATGCTGGCAGTGTTATCTGTGCAGTTTATTGGTGCGGACCAATAGAGGTGGTGAGATAGACTCTGTTGCTTCTGTATGGTGTAACAGAGTTTCACAGTCATGTCTGGCTGCTGTGCTTCAGAAAGGCATGAAAACACATTCGAGATGGTTCCTTTTTTTTGGCCCTTCTATTGTAGTTACTCAAGCGCAAACACCCGTTTTCTTGATCAGTGATCTGCTGCACCACAAGCTCCCAGATAAAGGCTTTTGCTAAACTTCAGCTTCAAGAGAATAGCCTTTTCTCCGCTCTGGAGATCTGTCCACTGACTGTGCTCCGCTGCTGCTGCAGTGATGTGTGTCATTGGCCTGTGTGCCTCATTGATGAGGGTCCTGTAGCCTTCCAGTTTGTGTGTTTGAGAACGTGTGAGGTTGGTGCTGGAATTTGACTCTGACTCTGAGCAGTGTTGTCCAGAGGCTGGCTGGTGTCACTGTGGGACAATGAGCTTCAGGACCAGCTGGCTGAGGGGGCTCGTCTCTGGGCTCTTGGCTAGGCTCAGCACACTTTGTGGCAGAGTTCTGGTCTCTTCTTTTTAGGTGTAGTCAATATTTTATTGTATATATTTATTTACAGTGGGTAGTGGCCAAATTCAGCCCTGCACACCATGTCTAGTGTTGTCCTCTGCACACGGAGGGTGTTTTTACAGAACCCTCTCTTGAGGGCCTCTATGGGGTGTTTGTCCCTGGTCTGTGAGTGGACCCCACACTTCACTGCCATACAGGGCAAGGGATTGAAAGATGCTTTTAAATATTCTGAGCCAGATTTTAGTGAGGAATTGATTATTGTAAAGCCTCCTTCTTGTGGCATATAGAATCCTGCACATCTCTTCCTTCAGTGCCCTCACTGCCAAGTCCAAACTCCCTGATGTGCTTATTCCTAGATCAAAGTAAGTGTAGCTGGGATCTGTTCTTCAATCACACATTACAGAGTTTTGGGGTTCTTCACAGATGTCACTTTGGTTTAATGGTTCTATGTTTTTTGACAACAAGTTTTTAAAATTTTTATATGGACTGTTGCATTTTGGTTGCCCCATTCCACTGAATTTTGATTGATTCGGAATATTCAATTTTTCACAGAAGTAATTTGGTTTCACTTCTCCATTTCTAACTTGCTGGCTTACGTCACCTTTTTTGTTTTCTTTGTAAGGCTGCAGTTGTGGTTGGTTATTATCTTGCAGAATCATGGGCACAGATCTGCGTTGTGATCTCATGTTTTAGACTTGAAAGTTCTTGCAGTGCTATTCTAGTGGTTCTGCCGTCTGAATCAAACCATCCTTCTTTTGCTGTGGGTTCTTGATTTTTTAAATTGCATTCTTTGAATGTTGTATACATTCTTTTGTATGTGTGAATGCTATTTGTCTAAGCCAGTGGTTCTCAAACTTTTTGGACCAAGTACCACCCCTGATCAAACCAAAGCATCCAAGTACCAGCTACAGGTCATCTTCTCATAGGAACCCCAGAAAATCTCAATGACCAACATTAACGCTTCACAACAGATTGACAACAGGAACAACAACAATTAAAAATAAACAATAAAAAAGCACCATTTCAGTGAGAAGGGTGAGCCTGTTTAGTTGAGCAAAGCAGATGTAAATTCATTGACCGAGCCTTGATACAATTCACAACAGTCTAACAGATTTTAAATCCTCAGGCATTTTCTTGACTGCCAAGGCCTCGCAATGCATGCTGCAGTGCGTCCACTTTGTATCGGGAGCAACCTCTGATTCGTGCAACTACACCACTGATGGCTTGTCATCGCTCTAGCACCGTCTGTACAAACTCATTTTACTGCATTTTATCCAGTCGATGCCATTCTCTTCGATAAATTCATTCAGAAGCTGAAATATTTACTCTCCTATAGTTCTTGTTGGTAGCAGCTTACAGAACAGAAAGTGCTCATGGGTTGTGCCCTCAAACTCATATCTAACATGAATGAGCAAATTGGCCAAACAAACGACATCTACACACTCCTCTAATTGCGGTGAAACGCATCTGCTCCTTTTGACGTGCTCCATCAGTGTACTTTTGACATCATCTGCCATATCAAGAATTCTACAAGTGAATGTCATTTGAAAGGGGCAGCAGGTCGAGCTTTTTGGCAGCTTTTTCTCCACACGTAATACGTGTCAGCGCCTTTGCCAACAGTAAACAAAGTTCTCTACAAATAATGTGGGGCTTACCTGCTTTAGCAATCCGCAAGCTTGCGTTTTCCCCGTTTCCATTTCAGAAGTCCGTCTCAGAAGTTAAAAGAAATCTTTATTTCATGCGCATGGAGCGAAACAGAGAGACGCTCTGTGTATTTTTCTCCAATTAACCTAGAACATTTCTAAAATATTTTTCTGTTATCTATCACGCTTTCCTGTCCGCACAAGTTTGCCAGTGTTCCAAAATCACGGTCATTCTCCTACCTCCCTGTGCGCTGGAGATAACTTTTTTTAAATACAATTGGTCACTTACAGCACGTTTGTAGCACACATTCCTATAAAATGGTATAGAATTACATAGTAGCTCTTGTGTCCACTCAAGTATTGGAGTGCGCTGTATCGCAGTACATGGGCTGCATATTTGACACATAAATTAATTTTATTAAAATATAAAATATGAAAACCCTTCCAATTTTTCAATACGCACAACAAATTTCCAGGGTCATGTGGTGTACCACCTGGGGGCGCTCGTTTTGAGAACCATGGGTCTAAGCTGTTTGTAGCCCCTCTGTGTGGCTGGGCCTGTGTCAGTGTGCCCATGTGCTGGTGTACAGTGTAATCTGGAGGTGGGCAGAGAGGGAGGTTGTTGCCTGATAGTGAACACATGAATAGAGGAGGGATCCAGGTCAGTGACAGCATAGTCTATCATGATACTGGCCAGAACTAAGCTGGAAATGAAATCAAGGACTCCCCTCTGGACAGATCTATAGCACCTCATGTCTGCTCTTGTTGCCTTGGCGTTGCGTCTGTATGTGAGTGAAGTGACAAGGTGTGTGTTACACAGAAGATCGTCCACATGTACAAGTGCCCCCCTGTGTGCTGGTGAGGTCTGCCAGTGTGCATGCTCATGTATTGAGGTCTGTTGTGTAATCTGGTATTTCAAAGGCTGACTTTGACAGGCATAAGAGGGCTCTTCTGTTGTTGGGCACTTGGCTTTTGAAACTGTAATTCAGTTTCAGAGCCTGAAGAAGTTGATCGGAATCAATGAGAAGGACTCTATCTTTGTCTCTCTGCAGTAGGCCAGTCATCTCACTCTCCCTACGCTGGGCACGTCAACCCACTAGAGTAACCATGGCAGTAGTGCAGCAGGTGACTACCGTGACCACATCTCACAGCAGTGCTGAATGGAGCAGCGGTGTGTGTGACTGCTGCTCGGACCTGGGAGTCTGTGAGTATCGCCCCACTGTAGGCACTCGCATGCAGACACACACACACACACCCACGTGCAGATGTTAACGCATGACTGCATGGACCTGCAGTCCATATAGACGTGCGTGCAGGCATGCACACGAACACGAGTGGACACTAACGCACGTAAGCATGCACACGAACACAAGCGGACGCTAACATGATGCAGGCATGCACACGAACACTAGTAAAAACTAACACATGCAGGCATGCACAGGAACATGAGTAAACACTAACGCACACAGGCATGCACACGAAAATGATTGGACACATAACGCGCAGACATAAACACGAACATGAGAGGATGCTAACGACGCAGGCATGTACACGAACACTACGCAGACATGAAGCCAAGCAGACGCTAACGCACGCAAGCATGCACACAGATGACGCAGGCATGAACATGAACACAAGCAGATGCTAACGCACGCAGGCATGCATACAAACAGGAGTGGACACTAACACACGCAGACATGCATACGAACACGAGTGGACACTAACACACGCAGACATGAACATGAACACAAGCAGACGCTAACGCACGCAGGCATGCACACGAACACAAGCACACGCCAATTCCGTTTTACATTCTACAAAGACAACATTTAATTTAGAAAAGCACTGTATGCATGTATGTCCACATCCTGTTACAATCTTTGTGGCCACACTTGGTCTGATGTTCTCTTTATCTTCCCCCACATGAACAGAATGTGATCACGCTCAAGCATATGCACACACACACACTTGTTTTTTTGTCCGTCAAGATAGAAACTTGCCTTTGGCTTGCATTCAGTTGTTATTAAATAATTTTTTATCAAGAAACACCAGAGCAAGCAGTCACGGTGAATTATGAGAATGCAAATATTAATCACCTCTACAAATCACCTCTCTCAAGGGTGGAAGGCAGAACTGTATACAGAGACTTCCAATTCTGCTTTTGCTGCAAGTCAAGGTTAGCAGCCATGGCCAGCTGTTCACACTTAGGGTGACTTGGCTAACGTGAAACTGCTCAGCACAGCTGCTGCCTTTGATTGGCTTGAAATGTATTAAAATTATCTTTAGGTGGTTCTGCTTTCTAACTTTGTGAAACGGGTCAGAGCTAATTAAAAACGCATATTTTCTTAACTCTTCCTTTCTCGCTCTTCCTATCTAGACATCTGTCAATATCGGTAGAAGTGATTGCAGCGTTAACAGTCAGTCAGCAGTTATCACTTGAAGTGACTGGCGTTTCTCTTGGCCAGGCTGCTGCGGGATGTTCTGTTTCCCCTGCCTGATGTGCCAAACGGCCTCCGAATTCGGCTGGTGCTGCTGCATGCCCCTGCTGGAGACCTTCTGCTTTGCCTACACTGGCATCAACCCCCTGCCCTGCCCTGTGTCCATCTGCCTACGGAGCTCCATGCGGAAGAGATACAGGATCAATGTATGGGATGCAGAGTTGATGACAGGAGAGACTGGAAATGAAGGAGGCAGAGAGAGAGAGGGATGGAATTTGTGGGAGGCAGAGAGAGAGAGATGGGAGAAGAAGGAGGCAGACAGAGGAATGGGAGACAAGGAAGTCAGAGAGAGGGATGGGAGACGAGGGAGGCAGAGAGAGGGATGGGAGACGAGGGAGGCAGAGAGAGGGATGGGAGACGAGGAAGTCAGAGAGAGAGATGGGAGACGAGGGAGGCAGAGAGAGGGATGGGAGGCAGAGAGAGGGATGGGAGACGAGGGAGGCAGGGAGAGAGATGTGTGACGAGGGAGGCAGAGAGAGGGATGGGAGATGAGGGAGACAGAGGGATGGGAGGTGACTGAGGCAGAGAGAGTGAATGGGTGGGAGGTGTGATGAGCGAGAGAGGGAAATGGCTGGAGATGGGAATAGAGTGACAGAGTGCCACTCAGGGATCTGTATTCATTAGGGTCTTCCCCTCCTGCCTTGCAGGGCAGCCTGTGTGGCGATTTCTGCACCCTCTGCTTCTGCTACTCCTGCACCTGGTGCCAGATGGCGCGGGAGATCAAGAGACAGCGTGGCAGTTCCAGCGCAGTCACCACCACCACCGTGACCCATATCTGAGGAGGTTCGGTTTTCCCCACCAGAACAAAGGCAGAGCACTCCCGCCTCCCTTCCAACGTGACGGACAGAGCTGGCTCAGGGCAGCCTGACCAGAACTGAGAGCGCCTGATATCTGCTTAAGACATGATTAACAAAATCTGGAAGTACATACCGTCTGCTTTAACAATAAAGGCATCCAAGAATATTCTTAGTTTATCATGTACCAAGGCTAGCAGCCCTGGCTTTACACCACATATGGCTTGGAATTGTACTGAAACTGTTCTGGATGGGTTTTCTGTTTATTTTGTATAAAAAGCGTCCTTCTGTATCAATGAATTGAATTGAGTCAGTGCTTCATCAGCTTTGGTTCCCGTGTGCACACGTCATAAAGGTAATTTTGCAGCCTACGCATGCTGACGCAGCTACCCACCGTGTCTCCTTTGTTGGACACAACACTATCATGATATTACCGTGATATTACAGTTCTTTGCAGTGCTTTAACCATGATTTCCCTGTGCTTTGCTTTTACCATACATTCTCTGCCCTTTAGACCTCTTTCACCTCCATGACCTAACACAGACACTCTCGTCCCAGAAGCAGAAGTGGTGATAACCTGTCTTCTGCATGAGTGAAGGGATGGGGTAGGCCATATCGTCTTGTGCTCCTGAGGGTACAGCGCTCAGACTGACCACCTTCAGGCCGGGGCTACAACTGCAGCCCTAGGTCTAATGTTTAGAGTGTGCACATTCCTTGTGAAATTTTGCATTCAAGCTTGAACTTTTAGTGGCTTAAGACTTGCCTGATTTCAAACCTAAGGTCTTAGTTATTATGATCAGATTATAAGCATTGCCTACAGTACATCTTTTTTGCTAAAGATTCCCAACTCAACTTCTTTCCAGCTGTAATATTAAACATTTTGTGTCCACATTTTTAATGACTGTAAATAACTTCCATTTATACATTTGTAAATTTGTAGCATAGGGCATGAAGCGAATAATAAATTTGCTATCTTGTGCTTATTGGGGCTCAGAGTTATTGTTAAGAGGAGTGGATTAATGTTTTTGAAAGGCTTTTATTTTACTCTTATTTAAAGAAATCTTAGCTAAAACCAGCTATCCCCACTACACTGTCTTCTTCCTAACAGACATGGGTGTCCAACTGCTGTTGATTTTAACAGATGTTTATTCAGGGGGCCAGTTCTCAAGTCAGTCCTGTCCTGATCTTGCTGTTCCTCCATGCCTCCCCCTCAGTGGTCCTCCCTGTAAGTGTCTGCGCCATGCACAGGCGACCGACAGCCCTCCTCTCTCACTCCTCTGCAGTCCTGGCACCTGTGAGAGCTGCACAGAGCACACCCACGCCACCCCACACGCATGAGCGCACGGATGCACACAAGACCACACATGAACGCCATTTCAACAACCACAGTTGCACATCCAAGTGCACACACAGGTATGCCCACAAACCCCCATGCACACACACACACACAACACCGCACAATCATCCAGTCCAACACACACGATTCCATACACAACACCCCACACACATTCATGCATAGACACAACATGACACATGCATCCAGTCCATCACACATGATCTCACACACAACACCACAAAACACACGCAAAGAGACACAAGACCACACACATACGCGTGCGCGCGCAGCGGCACATCCAAGACCATGCAAGCAAACATGCACACACACAATGCCACACAAACATCCAATCCAACACATGATCACAAACACAAGCACACCCACAGACACCCATGCACACACAAAACAACACACAAATATCCAGTGAACACAACTGATCACACACAAATCACACACAAAGAGACACAAATCCATTGTTGTTAAACTCCACAATCTTCTCCAGTATAGTGCAGTCCAGTCCCAGTGCTGGGAACTGAGCTGTCCCTCTGTACTGGGTGTGGAAACAAGGTGGCCTGTTTCTCTCTGTGCGTACACCCACCTGCCTTTCAGTGTGAGTACCTGTCTCTGACGGCTCCCCCGTTGCTCAGTCCTGAGGCAGACAGGTGTCTGGACACCGACCGCATCAGCGAGCCCACGGCACTGACACTCTCCAGCTCCAGACCCAGCTGGCAGAACATAGAGAGTGTGCGCTCGGTCCTGGGAGAGGGGGACAGAGGGAGAGAGGCTCTGGCATACAGACGCCGGACAGAAGCTCTCACCGGAGGGTGAGAGGTTCCGTCAGGCTGAGACCTGCCTCATTCGGCGAGCTTCTCCCTCCCTCTCCTCTCATGCCTTCTTTCTCTCCCTGTGTGCACAACCCCTCCCTCTGCCCCCCGCCTGCACGCACAGCACAGCAGAACCTGACAGCTGAGCTGCCTGTAGGATACATAGGATCTAACAGGAGTTTGGAGCTGCAGGAGAAACGAGCCAGCTAAGATTATTCCCGAGGTGGATTCTAGAGGACTGTCGGGCCTGAAGTCTAGATCTCACCCCTCTAGACCTTCCCCTGTAGGGCCACCTGAAATCTGGGGTTTCGGGCCTCAAACCAAGCAGCACTAAAGAAAGGCATTTGGAACAGCTGCTCTCAGATCAGTTTCTTTCCTAGAAAAAAAACTCCCAACAACAATGTCTATTTGCATGGATGTTAAAGGTGATCAGTTTGAATACTACACTAATTTTGCATTGATTTTGGTCAGGAAGACCTCTTGCGTCCCACATTCAGTAACTCACTGATTATCAAAGGCAACAGCCCCTCTAGATGTGTTGCAACTATTTTTGACAGTATTTTGGGTCCACATTTCAAAGTGCCATAGACCTGCAAGAGGCACCCTCTTTCTGTGCACTTCCCCTTCTTAAGAATTAAGAAAATATTGGCCAGTAGCCCACTGATATTGTACAGCGATTAGATTAGTGTGAACGGAAGAGGCTTAGAGAAGGGACGGTGTGAGAGCACCATGACTCACGAAAGGCCTCTTTCAAGCAGAAGCAGTCACTTTAAAAGGACACAACCAGCGAACCCCGATGCCACAGAAATAAGGTAAGAGGAGTGCTGGCTTTTTGTAGATGCCAGGAGTCCTGCCTGTCCGTTTTATATTCTGCTGGGCCAGAGTTTCTACTCTGTTTCTAGTCAGACTCTTCAGAGTAAAGGCTAACAAGCTGCAAGGACAAAAGGTTATTCGTAATCGTGGGATTTGTTCAATCAGAGTAGAGTACTAACAGGCTAAGAATATTAAACACGTCCCACTACTTCAAATACAACAGAATAAAGACTTGCCTGTCTTAACCCACAACCCACAACATCTGAACCCACAACCTTTCATCTTCAAACAAAGAGCCCTTACCATTATTCCACACTACCTGGAGTATACTCATTAACCTTATTATAATGTATATTATATACATTATAACAGAAGAATATGAGACAAGATTCACAGGTGGACCCTTTAAAGTAAGAGAAAGGGCTGTTTCCCTTGTAATGAGGGGGTTAAGGGCTCTGTGATCTAGCCTACAAATAAAACCACTAAAAAGACTTTGTAAGGCTCACAGCACTTTGAGAGCCATACATCTGCAGACAAAAGTGTGTGAGGAAGCTGGGAGCAGCTGGGGACAGGCAGTTCACTATTGAAAGGCTGCGAGGTCAAGGAATAGGAAGTGAACACAAAGACAGTTAATTGAGCAGCACATCCAGTAAATACACTGAGAGGGAGGAACTGGAGGAGGAGCCAGCCAGCTACAGTACGTCTGCTGGGAGCCCCAGGAGCCTATATCACCAGCGCCACATCTCTTAGTCATAGCTGAAAGCTGGAAATGGAGATATGACCACAGGGCTGAACCCACATAAGCAGGGTGGAGGAGTGGTGAAGAGTTCCTGGTTTGCCGCATTGTGGCTAGGGGTACAAGCATTTGTCGCAATACCATACACACTGACTTATTACAAATCCTTAGACCTTCGGCCCAGCAGGAGTAGTATAGAAGTACATTCTTACAACATCCTGGAATTTAAACAGAACCAGCCCTTGTCGGAGCTTACAGAATCAGACAGAATCAGAAAAGAAATAGAGACTTAGGGAATCCTGAAAGTTACAAAACCTGTTTTTGTTTTACTGGGAGGAGTCACTACAACAATATAAGGTCAAATAATTATGGGTTTAAAATTTCACAGCAACAACTCAGGCCCAGCAGACAGGATGACGATGTAATGGCAGGACGGTATTGAGGATCCGCGATATCCCCAGAAATCCAAATGCGTGAGCTGCTAGACAGCTGGAAAGAGTACAAGAAAGGCTGATCCCCCCCCCCAGATCTGCAATTACAGGACAAGGGGGGGGGGGAGTTGATTGACCAGCATGCGCAGAAGGAGATGGGCAACAGGCACTGAAGGATAGGACTGTCTTCTATAGCACCTGCACATGCTGGCAGGAGGAGCAGGGGTTGTCTGCTGCACAGGCATGTTCAGCACTTCCCGAATCCCGCCAGGACATCCCAGTGCTGAGCTCCTTCCCAGGTCCTCTTCCTGCCTCCGGCTCAGTCGTGGACCATACTCCCCCAGGACTTGCTGCTATAATTCCTCCCGTTTGCCCTTTCCACCTCTCATCCTCATCCTCTCTTTTTCCAACCCCATGTCAAGTTTCTGGGAGAGGGTTTTCCGCCGGAGAAATAAGGCAGATGAGGAGAGTTCTTCTAATGATAGAAGATCATTGCCCTCGATGGGTGGCAAAGAGATTGCTCTGTAACTTGTACAGAAGGGCTTTGGCTTCCGTCTTGAAGATGGTCACAACCTTGGCTTTGTCCTTGAAACCTGCCAGGTTTACTTCTTCATTCCTGATCAGCACAAGAGTGTGCATGTGTAGATGAATTGCCACCGGGATATTCCAGGCAGAACACATTCTTCTGCCCTTGAAGACTTCGTTGCCAGGGCCAGGCTTGCAGGAATTCAGTCTTCTGAGTAAAACAAAGCAGTTCCGGAACTGAAGGAGTCCTTCTATGCTTCACCCCGTCCGTACTGATCCTATGCTACTCATCGTCCAGGTACCTCTTTGAGAGGGCCAATATTTGCACTGCCTTTGACATGAATCCAAACAAGGTTGTCGGTTATTTGTGTTGTGAAACAAGGATTTTCCTCCTTCCCAGTTTAACTCCCAGTTTCTGTCACACTCTCTCCATCTCATCCCCACTCTTTCCCTTCCCCCTCTTGGTTCCTCTTTCCCTCTCCCAGTTTCCTGCCGCGCCCCCCCATCGCCCACCCCCTCTCTCTGACTCACAGCTCGGTGATGTTCAACGTCTGCTCTTTCAAGCACTGCAGGCTGTGCAGAATGTCACTCTGCTCCCTCTGTCCACACTCCCACTGGTTGATGAAACTGTGGAGCTTGTCTTGGAAAGCCTTCAGGGCTAAGATGGCCTCCCTCCTCTCCTTCCGGTCCTCTGCACACTCCTCCCCCAGCCGGGCCAAGCCTTCCCTGTGGGAGAGAGAGGCAGAGCGGAAAAGGGGGCTGACAATCAGGGCAATGTAGGCCAAGGGCTTGTGCATACAGCTATAGGCCCTAACTATTAGCATGCAGAAGTAACCCCTTACCTGAGATCAGAAATGGCCTGGAAGCTGACCTCTCTTGCCCTGTGCTGCTGGGCACAAGTGGGTCCGGGGTGGGCGCTGTGATGGGGGTAGGTGGGTTGGGTGGCGTAGCAAGGCAGACAGGTGGCAGAGGGGCTCCGAGACAGGTGAGCTGGGGGCGGGGGATGGGAGGGGTGTGGGGAAGGAGGAATGGGGCTCGGGTGGGAGTGGGAAGAATCGGGCTCCGTGTGGAGGTGGGCAGGGTGGCTGGGATGGGCTGAGTAGCAGGGCAGGCAGGTGGCAGAGGGACGGCGGGCCAGGTGCGACTGAGGCAGGGGGTGAGGGGCATGAGGGGGAGCGTGGGGGTGCTGTGGGTGGTGCCAGGCATGGTGGGAGACTGGCACCCAGTGGTGGGCACATCTGGGACGCTGATGCTCCCCATTCTGTATCTCTGCCAGCCTCCGCTGCAAGGTCCGGAGGGTCTCCTGGTGGGACAAACAGTGAGGAGATATGAGGGGCAGGAAACTAGGCTGCCGATTGAATAGGCAAGGCTGGTTGGGCTCTAAAGTTAGAATCGCCAATCATGAGCTAATAACACCCAGTCTGGAGTAGCCAGCGCCATGCTCTTCTTCGCCACAGCACTCAGGGAGGAAAGAGGAAGCACAAGCAGCCTCCTCCAATACGCCCACCTACGACTTGCTTGGCTTTCAGCGCATCACCGGCACCACTGCCCCCTCCTGGAGGTCCAGCGCCATCAAGAGGAGCTCTGCATGCCCGCGGGAGTCCAGAAGGCCACAGGGAACCCAGGAACACCCAGGGCCATAACTGAATAATCCCAACTATCCCACCCTGGGTCTGTCCCAGCCAGCTCTGGACATGACTCAGGCTCGAACCTGTGCTTTTGTTGGTGGAGCTGCTCATGAGGCCCGCGGGGCTTGTCCTTATTCTGATGAAATGTGTGTGATGATTTAGCCAGCAGAAAAGGAGGTGCAAGGCCCATCCTCATAAAGAGAGCACTGGTGATTCAGAAGGCGTTGCGGTGTGTGTGTGTGTCTGTGTCTGAGCTCGCGGGAGCGCTGTGCATGTGTGGACTAGTCAGTGCGTGCCGGAGGCTTTGTCTGTGTCTGAGTGTGGGTGGAGGCTGCTACTTACCTGTATGGCCACAGAGCTGCGGTGAATGAGATGCATCTTCCACTTCACTTCCTCACTCTCCCTCTGCACCCCCATACACTCCTCCTGATGGACAGACGGACAGTTACAAACCCTCTGGACCCTCCCACCACTCCTCCTGATGGACAGACACAACTAAAAACCCTCTACACCTAGGCCCCAGGCACTTTCACCCTCTAAATGTGCAA